TGCAACATTCAAACTGGTCTACCTTATCTGCTGACATAGCTGACTGGAACGTATGGTCGCCCACGCTGAAGCATAGCGCTGCATTCACAGTGATGTGTTTCGAAAATCTGTTGTTACTCCGTAACTATTGAAAATCGACCACAAGTTTATAAGGAAATTTTGTAGGAAATAACCCAAGGAATATGTACCATAAGCCGGGGTAAAACTTCGTGAATCACCCTGTATACATAAATTTCCCACGTCCATGAACTGCCACATCTCTTTTGCCCATTACTCCAACCCCTCACAAAGTCCCACACAAGCCTGAATTCAAGATCTCATCCACTGACATCGCTGAGCAAAGCGAGCTAACTAAGTGCCTGAATTGCATTTATCTTTTGTGGACCCAGTCCACTGGCAACCAACTAGAATTATGTACACACACATGTCAATATGGTGGAACTGTGGATCAAACATTTGTTTGATATGTTTCCTATTCAAAATGATCTGAAGCAAAGAGATGCATTATCACCACTGCTTTTCAACTTTGCTTTAGAATACGCCATTATGAAGATCCAAGATAACCAGGAAGGATTGATAGGAAGATTTCTAGGAAAGAGATCACTAGGAAGGCCAGAACATAAGATTGCAGAATAATACTGAAATGTATCTTAAAGAAATAGGTTTGGGGGTGTGGACTGGATTAACTCTTAACGTACGGACTTTTAAATTGCCAGCAGTCCTGTACAGCTGGAACTCAAATCACCCTAATTAATTATCATTACAAAATTTCAGAAAAAAATGGATATTTTCCGTTCTATGTAACATAGAAATATGAACTAAAAAGAACTTGAAAGACAATAACATTCTCTACATATACATAAAAGAGCAAGTTTTACAAATGAAAATTAACTGTGAATATTTTGTCATGAAATGCAAAATATAATCTTTATTATATATGTTATGAAATTCCAAAGGACCTACACATTGGTTTTTCTTCAACCTTGAATCATGGTGATATTGTAAATATAATCACACTATATACAATAATATTTTGTTCAGACTGTACGCGAGTTTGAACTGCGTCACTTCACAGTTTACGATAACTCACACTCTGACGTGCGTGTGCCACTTCTCGAAGCAGTTCACCACACATAGCGCAATGTCGCACTTTTTACAGTAGTAGAGCGTGCTTCTGTGCTTCTTATTCTGAGAACAAATACGTCTTTGTTTCCTTTGGTTGGCCAGTGTTGTGAATGTTTCACCTCCAGTCGACACAATTGGGCCCCAGATGAACTTGGCCTCCCCTGAGAAACGCCACTGACTGTGATATTCGCCTCATGTGATGAAGAATCAAATCCCGCACCAATATTTCACGGAACTTTTTGTGTGTCATTTTTCCACCACATGAGTTGTGTAATAGATATGAATTTAGAATAGTCATGTATAGAAGGTGGAAAAACACTTTCTTTGTCCACTTCCATGTCCTAGCAATGCCATAACTGTTTATCATCCTGTTAGATTTATCAACAAAGCCCATGTGTGCATTGTAGTCTTCAATTACATGGGGTTTGACAGCATGGCCAGATTCATCTCGGAAGTTGCCTTCCAATGGAGGGGGGTGCAAATTCGTCAGAACATACACATCACGCTTGTCTTTCCAACGAACAACACTTAGATGCCCCCTGACTCTTGTAACAATATTCCCTTTTTTCAATTTCATTGACTTTGGCCGAATTTCTTGTGGCATTCCACGCCTATCATTGCGAACGGTGCCACATGAATTTATTTTCCTGTCTAAAAGATCGTCAAATAAAGCAGGAGAACTTAAATAACTGTCCATGTAAATTTTGTGTTCCAAGCCTTCTACTCTTCGAATTAGCTGGAGAACAATGCCATGTGTCGATGTAATTTCTTCTGTCACAAGTTGCCTTTGTTTGCCCAAATAAACTGTCATGTCATAAGTATGCCCAAAAAAATCGCAAAGCTTGTAAATTTTTATACCAAATCTTTTGCGTTTCTTTGGAATATACTGACGAAAAATCACTCTTCCTTTGAACAACACTGTGACTTCATCAACAGCAAGACGTTCTGCTGGATTGTAAAGTTCACAAAATTTGTTGTTGAGATTCTGGATTATTCTTCAATTTCAATACAAGTGTGATGCTGCTTCTCTGTTATAACAATATGTCACTTGTGTTTTTGACAGTCACACAAAATAATGTGTACGAGTATATGAAATACCGCAACCACTAAAGAAACTGAATCCCAAGACTCTTTTAACACAAAAATGCTGAATCAATGAATCATGTAACCAGCACATGCCAACTCACTAACGTTGCCAACTTATGCACAAAAATATGTTTGCTTATTTGTCAGAACTTGTATTTAAAACGATTCTTCATGTTGCAATGTCTTATTATGAAATTAGCCACTTTAGCTGGCTGAGAGGGTGACTCTGCAAACTTTTCTAATCATCACAGCTTGAACAATTCTGTCACCTGCTTCATATGAATAATCAGTGCATGTTCAGAATTAAAAACTGAACAAATAAGCCCAATAAGTTGTACCCATTTATGTGGCTGTAATCCAAATCATTGCATTTTATTCATGAAAAGGTATAATTTGGGACAATCACACAACAAATAATCAAAAAGAAATAAAGTAGACACTACTGTCTCAACATTTGTTTTTATGTGTTGCTGGTGGTAACGCTACATGTTTCTGCCCTTCTCTTGGGTCATCTTCAGGGGCAAAATGTGGTTCAGATATAGTTCAAACTAGACATTCAACTTGCTATTAAATGGATAAAAATTAAAATTAAAATTACAATTAAAATGGCTGTTAAGGTATTTATAGCCAATATTACAAATTCCATTTAAGCCTTATGCCTGCTGCATAACGTATGTGTGTTGTTTGTTGTTCCACTATGGTAGTGATATTGTGCTGTGGGGCAAATGCTTTCTGGGATCTTCTTCAGAATATAGGTCATGTTGTTTTTTTCTTTTTGATTATTTGTTGTGTGACTGTCCTATATTATATCTTTTCGTAAATGACACAACAGGATGCATACCATAAAGGTTCATTTTATTCATTTCATCATATTACATTTGTTTCAGTATGTTACCATATCATAACATCTACTGCCATATTGAGTAAAAGTACTATAAATTTACACAGCTTACACTGGAAAACTATAAAATGAAGAGTTTAAAATCATAGGTTTAGTTGTTTTGCCCACATTGTTGCTATTAAATAACCTCAGCAGTTTGTAAAATAATCTTATAAACAGTTACATTGAAAGTCCAGATTGCCAAAATATTGCATTTCATAACTAATTTGAAAAATGTAAATGCATAACAGGGAAAGTCGAGTCATAAACTCCTTAGGTAACCTGAATATGCATATCGAGTACACTGTATGGATTCTTTCAGAGATGCCTGTAGTTTTGACTTGACAAATGTTAAATTTAAAGTTATCTGTAAATTAATTAACCTTAAAAAAATCCCATCTACCCCCATTTTAAAGTCCACTACTCTTAGAGTATTCACAGTATTCTGTACCACCTGTTTATGGGTGTGTGTTTTACAGGAGAGGTCATGACAAAGGAAAGTACAATGGAAACTTACAACTATTACAAGGGTGAGTCAAATGAAAACCTTAAATTTGTAATAAAAAATCGAAATTTCACGCCATTATCCTGTAAGTTGGTAAGCGTGCTACAAACAGCGTGCAGAATGGCCTGTAGGTTGCAGCATAGTGCAGATGCATGAACACCGTCACATCACCAGTATAAGTTGGCTGCCCCACTTGAGACTGTGCACCAGGGAAGAACAGCATTCTGTTATTCGGTTTTTGTGTAGTGACGGTGTGAAACCTATTGAAATTTATCGAAGAATGACGTTTCAGTCTGGTGATGCATGTTTGTCACAGCAGCAAGTGTACGAATGGAGTAGGAAGTTTGCAAATGGTGTGACTTCAGTGGAAGATGCTCCTTGTCTGGGTCAGGCACATCGAGTTGTGACTCCAGAGAACACTAGCAGTTGAAGCCATAGTGAGGGAAATCTGCCGAGTGACATTGAATGAAATTGCAGCAAGTTTAAATATTAGTCATGGTTCAGCACACCACGATGTGCTCCAGTTTCACAAAGTGTCTGCAAGATGGGTGCCACAGCAGCTGACTCCTGAATTGAAAGACCGATGTATTGATGCTTGTGAAGAACTTCTGCGGCGTTTTGAACGAGGTGATGACTTCCTTGCAAGAATCGTTACTGGGGACGAAACCTGGGTTCACTTCCACCAACCGGAAACAAAGAGAGCGAGCAAGAAATGGCGCCATTCCTCGTCTCCAAAACCGAAGAAGTTTCGAACACAACCATCAGCGGGGAAGGTTATGCTGACTTTTTTTGGGGACGAAAAAGGCGTCATCTTGGAGAACTACACACCTAGAGGGACCACTGTCACCAGTGCATCATACTCAGATCTCCTAAAAAATCGTCTTCGCCCTGCAATCAAATCAAAGCGACGTGGATTGCTGTCCACAGGTGTCCTTTTGTAACATGACAGTGCAAGGCCCCATACTGGCTGTACAACAGTTGCGATAGTCAATGACCTGCATTTTGAGTGTCTTCCTCATCTGACATACTCACCAGACCTTGCCCCAAGTGATTTCCATATGTTTGGACCACTCAAAGAAGCAATGGGAGGAAAGACGTTCCGTTCTGATGAAGAGGTACACCACATGGTGCATGAGTGGTTGTGCGGACTACCGAAAGAATTTTTTTCTAAAGGAATTGTAAGTGCTGGAGGACTTGCACTGAGTGTGGGGGAGATTATGTTGAAAAGTGATACAGCTTTGTACCATTTGTGCACAATAAATAATACTCAAAAAAATTTAAGGTTTCCATTTGACTCGCCTACGTATAATGACAGTAACATCCGCAATTCCTTTAAGTAGCAACAAAGATTGGAGGAGTATAATTTAAAGAGTGTTATTACTGAAAGACTATTTTTCTGTGTAGAATTCCTCAACAACCAAAGGATGTTATCAGAATAAAACATATCATGATAAACATCAACCACACAGAAGCCCAGAACTGAGAAAGAAACCAGAGAGTCCATGCTGCAAACAAAACCCTTCATTATCTGCTGTGATGCCTAATACTGATGGCTCCAGTAGGTGTACTTGTGGTCACTGTCAAATGGATACTACTGGTAACAGGTATGAATTAATTTTGATATTAATTAGCAGTACTACTAAAGATGCTTTCCTGTGCAGACAACATGACCTGCTTTCTGGTAATGGAACTCACAAGGTTCAGTGCCACTAGTATTAAAGCCTACCATTGGACATGATCCTGAGCTACTTTCATCCTCCTTCAAGCCTTCAGCTACAAGATCCATCTTGATATTATCCTCCCATCATCTTCTTGGTCTTCCAAGTGGTTGCATTCCACATTTACCCACTCTTGACATGCTGGAATATTTAGATACAGTTGATAGTGACACTGATGATACAAGTGAAGAAGATGCCCCACATGCTACACCCCCAGCTGCTCACCCTACGTCTGACAGTGAAGAGGATGACATAGGTGATGACTGTAGGGAAATTCTATCCAAGAGATGTGCGCAGCAAGTGATTAGCAGTGAAGTGGGTAATGTTCCCACTCCTCTAAAGAATGGGAACAGAATTACAGTGTATGACATGAAAGGATTCTGGCTTGTATTCTAAATATGGGCATCACCAAAAGCCAACTATAGAATCATGCTGGTCAACTCCTTTCCGAATCCACCCCCCCTATGATTTGGGAAAATGTTTACCAAGCATTGCTTTTCCCACTTGCTGTGCTTCTCCACCTCATCAACAATGAAGGATTGCCAGACCATGGAGAACCAGACTATGATTCCTGTGCAAGGTACCAACCCTTATGGACCATGTAAACAGTGCAATCTGGCATCACTACACCCCTCATCAAGGAATTGGTGATGATGAAATCCTGGTAAGTACCAAAAACAAAAATTAGTCTCATGCGGTATTTGCCTGACAAGCACTGCCACTGTTGGGGAATCAAATTTTGGATGTTGTGTGACTCTGTGTCGAACTACTGTGTTGGGTTTTTCACATACTGAGGAGCCCACATACAGAAAGCTTTCTGTACACTGCCGTGAAAAAACTGCTTGAGATTGGAGGGTACCTCAGCAAAGGCTACCATGTCTTTGTCGAGAAGTATCTCATGTCTGTTCCACTTGCCCACCATCTCCATCAGCTAAGCACCTATGTTATTGGAACTGTTAGGAGGAATTGGAAACTTTTACTTCAGCAGTTCAAGAACAAATTTGCAGTTGGACAAAAGATGTATTGCAGATCAGTGTATTTTCTGCAAGAAGAAATCACAAAAGAAATGCTGTCATTCTTCTCTCCAGCCATGCCACAGTCCAAGAAGAGGAAGTATGGGGAAGACATGGTGGCAATCCACAAATAAACCAAAAATCATCACATCATACATCAAGTCCATGTCCATAATCGAGAGCTTGGGGAAGGAGGGGTTGGGGCTGAAGGACAATGCTGGAGCAGATGATCCTCGGGGATGAGGACTCAGAAAACTCCCTCAAAAGAAAGAGTCCCAGTGCATTGTCTGCAACACAGAGGAGAGGAGGCAGAGAGCCAGAACAGTATGCACCAGATGCAACAAGGGGCTGCACAGAGAATGCCTCCCTAAACACAGGTGATAACTGCAAAAGGAATGTATGCACTGTTTTACATAATGTGATGTAGTTCTGGACCAGAGAGCTCTTCATGCATACAACTTATATTAAGATTTGCAGAAAAATGTTCTCTTTCTTACAAGCTTGATGACAAGAGTAGAAGACCAAAAAGAAATTTTATTTTTTGCCTAAATGGTGTAAACTTTAAATTTCTATATTTAATTCTTTCAGTTTTATTTCTTTTTCAAATTAGTTATACTGTTAGCACTTGCAGGCTATTTTCATTTAAATATGCTGTTTATAGTGAATAAGTGTGATTTTTTCATATATCTTTGACAAAAATTGTATTTTTGGTGAATTTTTGAAGTGAGACTGGTAAATTGAGCCAAAATCGCTGGAGTATTTTAGGCCAGGTATTTGGAAAATAGTCTGAGTGGGAAAGGGTTAACCAGCTGGATCATGCGAATGTGTCATTACAGTAGTGTAATATATAGCCAGGAGAGGTTAACTGTATTTCTAAAAGTGAAGAGAATTAATGGGTGTATTCATTTGCATTTAAGGAACATAATCTGATCCTCTCATGTATTTTGTTACTTCTGTTCATCTACATATACCATACCTAAAGTTGGGACTATCATATATAATTTGCTCCAATTCATATCCTGTAACATAAACCGATGTAGCACACCTTGTCTTGACATGCAGTCTGTTCTATACTGTAGATCACTGTATTCGCAGAGTGCAGAAACATTTCAGGATTCATCTGCGCAGTTGCCCACTTCGACCTCACCTTCTGGGAGAGTTTACAGTCCACACACACACCATAACATTGTCAAAGCGTCAGCACAAGAAAAAGAAGAGCATCATACTAAATGGAGGAAAACAAGGAAAGGTAATTACAGGAATCCTACACATATTTATTTGTATCCTATAAAGTTAACTCTTTATAGAGATCAGAGGTTACTGTCTGTACCACATGCTTTAACATTAAAAGTGTCTGCATTGTGCCCACAGACTGTATTTATATCTTTTATATGATTCTGAGAATGAATGGGAATTATTTCCCTGAACAGCATTTAATTATTGGACTTTTTAATAGGGTCACAGTGTATTAACTGTGAGGTACGGACGGAACTTTTAAGTATTATGTAGGTTATCCAGAAAGTAAGTTCCGATGGACTATTGAAAAAAAATTATTTCCTAACCATTTATATTGCCATTTGATGTGCATACTGTATGCTCCTTTTCAACATAGTTTCCACCATTGTTGAGGCACTTGTCATAGTGGGGCACCAGTTTTTGTATCCCTGCATCATAAGACCTGTGATGCAAACCACGTGTTAATGGCTTCTTTGACCTCGTTGTGGAACCATCGGCCACCAAGGAAAGTTTTCAGATGCAGGAACACATGAATATCACTTGGCCCTTGGTCTGGGCTGTGTTGATTGTTGAGCCTTGAAGCAACAATTCCACAAGCAAAATGCCTTTTCTGTCCCAAAACACTGGGCACGTGACCTTGCGAGTTGAAGTGGTCTGTTTGAATTTTTTCTTTATCGGCGATGATGTGTGCCTCCATTTCATTGAATGCTGCTTCAATTCAGGGGTTACATGTGACACCCATTTCTTGTCCCGTGACTGTGCAGCTCAAGATGTAATCGCCTTGCTCACTGTATCGTGTCAGAAAGGTAACACACTGGCCTGCCGTTTCAGTTTGTGTTCATTTGTAAGCATCTTTGGCACCCAGTGTGAACACAATTTAAGAAAACGAAGTTTATCAGACACAATTTCATGAAGAGGTGACCGTTAAATTTGTGGAAAATGCAGGGAAAGTGACGAAATTGAGAATCCTCTGTTCTCTTCAATCTTCTCTTCCACTGCATGCATCAAATCTTCATTAACCACAGATGGTCGGCAGCTCCTTGGATCATCAAGCACATTTTTGCATCCTTTATTAAAGTTGACAATGAATGTCAGCCAGTTTCATATTTCTTGCATTCAAGAAACAGATTACAGACCGCATTTCACATGCGGCGGGCTTCTCAATTTTCTTGAACATTGTAAACACACAGAATAATGCATAAACATGGTTTGATTGTCTGCAAATGGCGTCCGTGCCTTCAAAAAGGACCAACAAACTCTGCACACATGCGTACCATAGTGACCGCAGTGCTGCAGCAGCAATATTTGCAAGTGGAACTCATTTTGTGGATACGCTTCATATTTATAAGAAATTTGTGCTTAAAAGGAATAAGCAGAAAAAGGTAATGAATAGTATGAAAGAAGTTTGAATGTACTATTGCTTCTGTCGTGATATTTTAATAAGCACAATTTTTTTTTATTTTTATGTAAAAACTGAAATATACTTTCTAAGAAATGAAAAGAGCAGTGTTAAATGCAATTGTCTTATTTTTCTCTGATACACTTCTCAGCTGATTCTTACATGTGTTCACTGTGCAAATGGAGATGGAAAGGAATGAGCGTAAGATGTACAGCATTTGTAAGACTAAATTTGTGCCTGATTGACTAAAATTACATAACATGTGGACAGAGAGACAGGTAGGCTGACAGAAATGGACAGGTGACTGGTTATTCTCAACTGTTAACACATTTAAACAAACAGAAATAAAAAATTAGCAAGTAGATAAATTATATGCATCCCATGTATTCTCCCAGAAGAATGTGGAATATATCAAAATGCAATAAAGTCAGTGCATTTGAACAATGAGTTCTAGAATTAAAAAACTTATCTTAGGAGATGTGCATTCCTGCAATCGCAAAAACTGCACTCATAATACATACCAATATTACTAATTAAACATTAAGAATTCACTTGGGTTAGCCTGTTGGTTTCATGTGATAGCTCTTGGACATGATTTCACATAACTGGTATATATGGATATCTTACGGGTGTCTATTTTGAAAAGAAAAATATCTTCCAAATCTTTATAAATTAATTCACATTCCCTCAAAATACCACTGCATTTCACATATCCACATCTAAATATAAGTATTATCAGAACTCCAATAATAAAAACTTGTACATTGAAACAAGAAACTGCATGCTGCATGTTTGTTCATCACAGCAGAACAGATTTGTATGTGTTAACACTGAGTCACTTGGTTGCTTTGGTAAGCCAAAAGAATAAAATTTTTTCATCTTTTATAAGTCTGCGTGCAAAACTTTTATCTAAAAATTCATAATTAAATTTACACATAAAATGCATAATGATAAACAGCCATGACACGCAACCCATCCAGCAAAGAATAATTAGAAATAAAAGACGAGTTTCTTCCAAGGAATGCAATCACAGGAATTACATTTGGAGATGCAACAGGTTAGTCTTCCATGAGGATGATGATAAAATCTTAGAGCAGGAACTCAATGAAATGAAAGAAGCTGTACTTAGAGTCAACAAAAGTGTGTTGGATAAACAAATTGTTTCCAATGTGAGAGTACTTAAAAAATACGACGAAAGGTTGTGGAAATAGATGCATATACTACTCTGTTAAGTTATGACTACTGGAGAAATGATCAGTTTCACTTAATATACATTTAGTAGACATGCATCTGTCAGTTTCTTTCTAAGGGAAAAATGTTACACATTGCTGTCCTAATGTCTGAAGAACATGTACTTTCTTTTCCCGCATAATGTGACTTATATAGAGAGTACAAGTTTCTTAGTACCTTATGATAATTATTCTGAAGAGGACAATTTGATGAAGGATTGTAAAAATGAGATTAAAACTTATTAGCTTAAGTCTTTTCAGTGCTTTTTGGTGATTGATCATCTTCACTTTTGAGTCCAAATTCTGATATGTTCTTCAGTTTCACAATGCCACACTTTGATTACCATCATTCAGATCAATTTGGTGTGTTTACACAACACATTTCAGTAGTAATGGATAGTATCATAAGCTAGGTGCTAGTTAACAATGGCAAGTATTGTACAGTGGAACAGTCTGTTCTGCATTATTATGTCAGCAATTAACTCATAGTACTCAAATTCATTGTCTTCTAGAACAACATTAAATGAGTATTTCACTGTAGTAAGGTTGCTACCTTTTGAGTGCAAGGGTCTGGTGTCAGCATTTCTAATTGGATCATTGTAACAGCACACTGTAACCTGCTCATCGTAGATTAATCAGTTTAAACAAGGCATATCATGAGAATGTTCCCTGAAAAGATTCTTCAGTCAAGTGAGAGGAAGAAAATATTACGAAGACCTTGAAAAGATGGCAATACTTTGTTTGTAGTATCTATAAGAGACCAGTTAAGTATAATAAGTGGAAGGATGATTATATGGTAAACGATATGTCCTAACCTACTGTATTCTAGTGTAATTATTTTAATTTTGTGTGTTTCAGATTTTCATCATGAGACTTGCCATGGTTGTAAATGTCATGATAGCCTTAGTCACAGGGCATGTAACTGTCCAGTATGCTCTAAATACAGGACTTACTTTGACAAACACACTGGTGTTGACCGTTCTGCTGTGAGTTAATATTCTGTATGTGTCCAGATTAAAATTCATTTAGTTATACTACACGAAATTCAGGAAGAATGTATGACACATATGAGTACTGTCCTTTAAATTCCTCAAAGAATATGGTGTAGCTAGCAAGAATTGTAAATTATCTATATTGTACCAGAGAATTACCCATTGAGATCAACAGAGAACTGAAAATATTAATACAGGGATCCTATTTGTTACAGGCTGATTCCAGAGAAAGTCATTCCTTATTAGAAGAAATATAAATGCAACTTAAAGTGGAAATATTTAGAGGAAATAGTAAAGTTTAGAGGTTTATTATAATAAAAGGAGATGTCATCCATGTGTGCTGCTGTTGCTATTCAAAAAACAACTTATAAGGATAGCATCACTAATTAAGGAAATGTCAGGAAACAGCATATCTATAATGGATTCTACACACTGCTTTAATTTCATTAACTTTAGCAGCCATGAAAGTTTCAAATATTATATAAATCGCTGGTTGTTACATGTCACCTTTACTAAAGCCAGCACAAAGTAAAACCATGAACGATCAAAGACAAGAGGTAACGCTGGTACGAATTTTGTACACCATTAATTTTTCATGCAATTCAGAAATTACTGACCACTTAAAATTTCATTGTCTATATTGAGTTTCATCATGAAGTGCAAGAACAATGCTTATATGTTAACTAAGTAAAATCCAGCATTTTAGCACAGGTTGCAAGTTTCTGAAGAATAAATTAAAAGTCTGTGATGTAATGATAGGGTTAGTGTAAAACAGATTTGTCTGATGCAGTCATCACTTTTTGGACTATATATTCATGCTTCACTGGAATAACTGTGTAGTAATTACTACTACAGGTTGCCAACAATTTTAATAGAATATTCAATACTTCAAACATGTTATTAAGCAAACAGTTAATTAATATAATGAATAATAAATTAATATATAATTGTCATATTTAAATACTATTCAGTTACATAATATTTTATATTACTTTCATGCCCATTTTAACAAACATTAACTTCTACATCTTTAAAAGTAAGTCCTCAAAATAAACTCACAAGCAATTGCTCAGTCACTTCCTCAACAATATTTACAAAACAATACACTACAACAGTACATCATAAAATAAAGACATATATAGAGTACTAAGATATGGAGAACAAACATAATGACAGCATACAACAGAGGGAGACATGTGGTCATCACTATGTCTATGCTTCACTATACAATTCATTTAATAGTTAATCCTTATATTATTATATACAGTATGTTATCAATGTCATAACATAGTTCCAAGGGCTGTTTTTAAGCAGTGAAAGAACAACCCTGAAATGTTCAGACAGATATGAAAAGTTGCTACAATCAGTTTCCCTGCTGTACTCTTTGTGCTGGGTCTTGAACATATGTGTGATTAAGGATAATCATAAACTGTACTGGAAATTACTGCACCATATCACCATATTACTAATTCTAAGGTGCTACTGGCTGTAACATGGCAATTACCTATGGTATTTGAAATTTTATTTAAAAATTAAAATACAACCATATGTAGTTATTACAGGTATCCAACAGCAAACTGAGATGATAATTGAATCTTCAAAAATGCCAATGATACTCAGTCCTCACACCCCTTCCTGAGCGTTGATTTTAAGAAATGTTTTAATATGCACCAATGAGCATATGTGTAACAATGAATGCTGGAATTTTAAACAATAAAAATACACAAACATTTTTGGAATGTCATCTCTGTTTACTATCTTGTGACTAGTGTTATGAATATGAAGAACTGCCTTCCACTTTAATCATACAATATAATTTTTTGACACTGATTCTTCGATCATCAAATGTAAGATGCACCCCAATTTCAGAAATTTTAAACTGCCCAAAAAATTATCTTAGGATTGAGAAAATATGTCTCAACATCACGTGACAGTTGTACATGAAACCAAGCCATAAAAACAAAGCTCAAGATGAAATATTGAGTCTCTGTATTTAAAATGTATTAGGAATAAGAAGAAATATCTTCCCTATGTTAGAATTGGTAGGAAATAATGGTTAAAGCAACAGAAGGTGAGAAATATTCTTATATCATGGTATAACTGTATGTCTATATATGCCACGTATCCTTCAATTCTCATTGTCTTAAAATTAGCTGCTACTGGTGTAAACCATTCTGAAAAACAGTAATCTGCAAGTCAAGTATTGAAAGGAATCAAATCCTCATAGATGTATTCTTTCCAAAATATGGGAATGTTTATTCTCAGATCAGTGAAGTTCTTCAAAGTTTAAGAAGTGGCTTACATGTTTCAATTATTTATGCAATAGGGCAGGTTGGAATAAGGGGCACAAAAAAGCCTTTAAACATAATATAAGTAAAAGTCATTTTCATTACTTTGCATTCACACAGTTTATTGTTCTGATGCTTTAAGAGCATATAACCGTCTACAGTTCATTCATAATGTTGGAGCACACCAGTCAAGAATGTTTTATGTCAATGTAGCACTTGTAAAAGAATCCACAGGGAGTTCCTATCCCACTTCCTATAAGCTAAAGGGACATATATTTCAACCTAAGTGAACACTGGGATTGCAGGTTTGAATTCTGCCTAGGACATCAGTGTATTTTTATCACAATCATCCTATTAATCATATTCACTTCATTTCCAAAATTCTGCCATGAGCTATCCATCCTTGTAGTTAAAACAATGCTTTAAGAATTGTGGAACATAATTTCTAGGGATGGATGAACCTAGCAAGTCAAAGAACAAAAACTCAGATTATTTCTATTGTCCTAAAAGGTGTTTTGCTAAGATGGTGTTTTAACTAACTATTTTCACTTGTGTTCAGATTTTTATTCACAATAAATGATAACACTGTTGATACACTTGCACCTGTTGTGTTACTGATGTTTTTACTGCATTTGTATTTTAAAATCCTTCAAATATAAATAGGAAATTAATGAAAGAGCAGAGAGTTTTCTATTGCAAAGCTGGTGCAAGTAAAACAAGTCTCAATAAGTAACTGCTGCATTTACTCACAAGTATCAAGGTGTCCAACCACCAACCCAGCAAGCAATCTGTAACTTCAGTGCAAGATTTAAAGACACTGGAAATTTTGAAGACTTCCCACAGTGACAGGCCAAGACTGGCTGTAGCACGAGGTTTTGTTCATAGTCCTAACAAGTCATTCAGAATATCATCATGAGAACTGCAAATGTCATGAAGTATCATACATTTAATGTTATAATCTTTGTGAATCAAACCGTACAGACCTCACTTGCTGCATGCTTTAAGTGATGGCAACCGAGACGGAATTCTGTGAGTGGTTCCTGATTATGCACAAGGCTGATCTTGGCTTACAAAAATTCTATGAACAAATGAAGCAACATTCAAGACAAATGGAAGAGTTAATTGACACAACTGTGTTTACTGGAGCGATAAAAACCCACACTGTGAAATAAAAGAAGAGCTTTGTGTTCCAGGAATTACTATTTGGGCAGAAGGTGTGTTTGGGCCTTTATTCATCAAAGGTACTGCAAATGCAGAGTAATATGGGTCTTGCTGCAAAATACTGTGATACCAGAAATCAAAAAACACCATAACCTTAAAAATTTGTTCTGGCAGCCAGATGGTGCCCCACCCTGTTCTGGGCACAAGGTTCACACTTGAAAAATTTCTAGTGTGGTTTGGTCACTGTGGATCAATTTAGTGCCCCCAAGGTCTTCTGATTTTACACCTTGTTATTTTTCCATATGTGGTCTAATCAAAGATTGTTAACAGCAAGACACCTGCTAGTGTTTTGCAAATGACGGAACAGATCTGCGTGTAATTGGTTAACTTAAATGCAAACAAAAATCTCTGTGCAGTAATCTGTGAATCACTTCCTAAGGGAAGTGAAATGTGCATTGAACATGATGGATAATAACGTGAACAATTTCTGTAGCTTCTAATTGTCACTTTCTGGGTTGTAAATAAAGTAATTTTCCCTGGAATGTGAGTATAATCTTGGAAAACTGCCTTTTAGGATTTCTTCTGTATATAACTTAAATACTGAATGATAATTACTGTGTAGATTACAGAATTTTCCCGATCTTTTATCTTATTTTGTATCTTGTATTTTAATTGTAATACCAAATTGAGGCAAATGTTATCTGTTAGTATATAATAATAGGACACGTTGCACTGGTATATATCCATATCAGTAGTTCAACTAACTAAACATATTCTTATATATTGTATAACTGCCTGATGATGGTTTTTTATGACTGAAACATGTAGCAGGACTAAAAAGTCAAATTGTAAAACATTAAAAGTGAGTATATTTGTTGTGTTGACAGTTAACCTAATTCCTGGAACACATAACAGGATGCAACCAATGAAGATAAATTGTATACCACATAAGAGTAATGTCTCCAAAATTAATTTACATTCAGGAAGAGTAAGAATAAATTAATTCAATATATGCACATTTTATTTCATATGTAATATAAATGAAAAGAAAAAGGGAATGGAGAGGAAAGTAATTCATATGCATGAAATAGAGCTCTTCTGACTCCATCAAGTCTTGACTAGAATAAGCTAGCATCACCATTCAAAGAACACTAGCAAGTGTAAGAGAAGTCCTACTACAACTAGCAGCACTGAATTTCATTTTACATGCTGCCATGTCTGAATCTTTGGATACTATTATGAAGAAATCTGTTCAGTTCAGTTAGTAGACCAGGTTTTTAATATATTAACAATCTATACTTTTACTAAGAAGATGCTTCTGCTCTCATATAAATTATTTAGTCTTCTAAAATTACAGATAGATACTGTTTTGTATCAGAACTCTAAGTAATGAGGCAATTTAATTTTTAGTAATCTGATCTATGAACATTATACATGCCTTCTATAGTAAGATTATGAATAATAATGGAGGACAAGAGTATTGTACAGGAGGGGACAGTGCATTAGTCTTGGCAATAACATCTGAACCAACTGATGCAGAAAGTTGTAACAAATTTTCTGATATCATCTGCTTATTTCAAACACAAAATGAATGGCTGTCATAGGCTGAATACTTACTTAGATCACTGGCTGGGAGGATGGTTACTTTTCCATAAGAAAAATACTATTCTTCTGAAAACTGAGCCAAAGTTAGAAAACTGGTCTCACTATTCTCAATTACAAATTACAATAAATATCAATGAAAAGCAAGACAGCTCAGATTAGAAATTATATGTACAGTAGAACTTGGTTATAACGTCATCAAAGGGACCTAAAAATAGTGTCGTTATAAACGAACGTCGTCGTAACCGAAATGGGTACTTCCACAGTAGAATTATGTTAGTCACGTAAAAATCTACCAAAACCGAGTTAAAATGTTGCATTTTTTAGTGAAATACGTAGTTAAGTACAGACTAACGTAACATTAACGTGGAATTGACCAAATGTGTAATATCAAAGACATATTACAGCGCTTTTCACTGACAATACACACAATATTTCACGAATCACTTTAACTTTCTCTTCAATGCTTAAAACTTTCCTTTTCATTGCCATGTTTTCGCTACTGCACTTCTCTGGGTTTAGGCAGGAACACTATAGGGTAAGTAGACAATGTGAGGTCCTGTTAGACGAGATTCTAGGAAAGGAATGCAGTTAACAACCTGCCGCGTCCTCTTGCACTATTCACGCAGTCCCACCCCACACCCTTGTTTTCGCATAAAACCCACGCTCCTCTTGCAGCCCGGGGTCGTATTCTTCCAAGACAGTCACATCAGCAAGTAGAGAAAGTGAGGGTGGGCAGACACATCGAACTTTCCCACGATATCAGAGAAATTCAGGAATGAAAATGACGTTACATACGAGGTTGATGCATTTGTGCATGTCGTACTAAGCAAGGTATAAAAACAGATGCTTTATGAGGAATTAGTTCGTACCATTGAATATTTGACGCAATAGGCAAGGTGTCGCAGAAACCGATGTTGCTATAACCAAGTTTTACTGTATATATACACGCACATGTAAGATGTGTGTGTGTGTGCTGCATGCTATCTTAAACGCACAAATTTGTTTTGTTCACACTTGGAGAAACAGTTAAAAGAACTGTGAAATCATTGAACTATCAGACCAATAATATTAATGTAATGATAAAGAGATGGCCAGTATATTTCCTCACACATGCTGTTTTAAACATTTAAAATCATTAAGCCCAGTAAGTTTAACCTCTGTTTATGAACCTGTTTTGCTTTCAGCACCACTAAAGCACATGACTCACAATTACACCCTATGTAAGTTCATATTTGAGACATTACATCATATTTCATATTGGATTTTACACCATATAACGGATGGGACAGTGCACTGCATACATTCTCATATTGACTCTTCCGTGTGCTTCCAAGTATTGCATAATCACACCCTATTACACATACTGGTCACAGAATTATTAGATACTTTAACTACAATGCGCAAATATTGTGAACTGTGAAGCACTTACGTTTCATCTCTAATAAACATATACACTTTTGTATTGTGTTATCTACAGTGGATTTGAATTTCAATTCTTAAACATCTAAATACCCAGTTCACTTTCACTCAGTCTACTATCTCAGTATCCCTTCATCAATCTTCAGTGAGCCAAATTCAGAAATGGGTAGGTTACATAAGGGTGAGGGGAGAATGGCCAATCCTGTTCTCCATGACCCAGTCCCCCCTCACTCTTCCAATATCGATTTTCAAAATTGGCTCATTTCTAACTGAAGATGCAGCAGATTCCTACAAAATGCTGGTAACAACCTATCACATTATGTGGTGCAACCAAGATGACTACAGTAAATAAAATCTTCAATACTGTGAAAACCTCAAATCTCAACAAACCTGTCAGTCAAAATTCTGAACATATGGAGCATAGACAAAATATCAGTCATATTATTCTTACACTACGAATTACAACCTGCCAGAAAGTAATTACCTCATTATTTTAAAAGAACAATTTAAAAATTACTTCTGCTTTTAGGAACAATCTGCAGATATCTGGACAAGGATATGTCCTCGCATTAAATTCAGTAAAAGCAATACTTAGATTCACATGTGTGATCTGTTCACACATCATCGAACAGTCCTCGAGGTGGAGGACCAACTCTATCCCTTGATATAGGTAATCCACCAAACACATTACCTGTAGTATCTGGAATGAAACTATCCGTCACTGTGCCTCCTTGATATAGTATTAGTGATCCTTGGTTGTCAGCACTATCTCTACCCAGTGTGGCATCCAAACCTGTACCTCCCGAAACTTCCAGATGTTGGTAATACTGGCTGCTGCTGTTTGGACCATAGAAATGATCGCTGCCATCTGTTGATGCTGTATTTGTAGAAGCTGTACCTCCACCTACATAATAGTCCAGTGGTTCAACATCACGAAGGAGAACAGCTCGAGCAGACTCTGTTGAATCATCACGATGGAGAGGACGCACTGCAAATTGAGAATGTAAGTTTCATACACAAAATTATTACATCCTAGCCTACTTTTGCTATTTTATGAGGAAAGATAACATTGTTCAACAGAGATTTGGTCACATGGATCTATATCTATGCTGATTATGAAAACTAAAATAGATATTATCTGTCACCTAGTTTTCAGATGCCACATGACTTTAAATTATTTAGGATTCTGGTTAGATGATGAAGGTGGGGGGGTGGGGGTCTGCTGCTTGCTCTTCCTCTGCTTTATAAGGTTCTTAATGCCACTAATTGCAAGTTCATGTTGGGACATGTACATACTTGTTCGATTTTTTCAAGCAATTTATGTGCTAACTTAACTTGCCAGTTACTTACTTTACTTCACTCAGTGAACCTTATATAATATTCCAGGTTTTTTCTTATTCAGGATCAATGATTAGAGAAATCATGAGATGGAGCATATGAATTTTCTTTGTGCCTATTTAAGAATGCTGTCAGTACTTATACTGTATACTGTGTATACAGCACTGAATGTCAGGATGACAGATGAATTTGGTAGGATTTGGAAAGAAGCAGTCATGGCCTAATCAAGGTACTAGTTCAGCAATTGCTTGGAGGAACTGAGTAAAACCAGGAAAAACGTCAGTCACAGCAACTAGTATCCTGGTTGAGATTTGAACCAAGAACATCCAGAAAAGGAGTCTAGAGAATTATCACTATGCCAACCCACCTTAACTAAAAATTAGGTGAAGGTGATGTTGAAGCAACAGGTAAAGGAACATTTAAAGCTGTGACCATCAAATTCTTTGAAACCTTTAAGGTAAAATAAGTTGGTAAGTCAATAAGTAAGTTACAAATGGATATAGAACTTAAACAAATAAGAGGACTGATTTGAAAAATGCTTTTATTTCTCAACATAATCTCCCTATACATTGAGGCACTTGTACCATTGGTTCACAAGCCCCTGAAAACCAGCAGCATAAAATTCTTTGGGTTGCTGTCGGAACCAAGCAGTGAGCGGGATCACGAAGGCATACTGCTCACCACATTCCAGCCTCAAGGACAAACGGTAAATGCCGACTCCTACTGTAACATTCTCAGGAAACTTCTTAAGGCCATTCAACGGAACCGACCAGGACTCCTCACCAAAGGCGTGTTGTCCTTGCATGACAACATGTGTCCCCATACTGCCAACAAGACAAATGAGATGCTGCGAAATTTCAAGTGGAAAGTCCTCAAGCATCCTCCATATAGCCCTGAGCTTGCTCCAAGTGACTTCCATTTGATCGGCCCTCTTGAACATCATCTTTCGGCTGAACATTTTCCCGATGATGAAGCTGTAGAAAGGGAAGTCACTGCCTGGTTCTGACAGTAGCCCAAAGAATTTCATGCTGCTGGTTTTCAGGGGTTTATGAAACGATGGAACAAGGGCCTCAATGTACAGGGAGATTATGTTGGGAAATAAAAGCATTTTTCAAATCAGTACTCTTATTTTTTTAAGTTCTATATCCATTTGTAACTTACTTATTGACTTACCCTTGTATTTTGAATTCCTTGTTGAAGAACCTCTCAATGCCAACAATGTCATGGTTGCAAAATGTCTTTAAAATTAATTTTCTGGACCCATATCTCAACTTTTTCTTAAAGAACTGGATGCTGTTAATGACAAGCATAAGAAGTACTTCCAGCAAAAAATATCCATGATGAAGTGATACCAGGGACAAGCGAAGCTCCAGCATGTTTGCCAACTACTGATGAACATTGGTAAGGAATGCTCCACAGGCATAAATCATCAGCAGCTATATTTGAGGTCATTTCAATAAGCAACATCTCTTTAGATATTGTTCTGATATCTTGAAGTCAGTCCAAAATGCACTTCTAATTCACTCGAAATTGGTGGTGGGTGAGAGAACAATTTTAAGACTATTTCTGAAATGATCATGAAGAAAAATTGTAAGATTTTTAATTCTTAATTTGGTAATTCTTTTACATGTAACAAGTTCCTTCTCATCCAATATGGTCTTATGCATTTGCATATCAATGTGTCCATCCTCCTTTAATAACTTTTCAACCATCTAATGAAAGGGAATATGAATATATAGCTTCTCCCTCTGCACTTTCCTGTCATCAAGAACATCAACTTGGACATTCAAACTTCTTATATGGCAGCTACTCCAGTACCACTTTATGAAGTATCCTGCAATTATGTGTGGTGAAAATCTTTGAAAAAATAGGCAGCTGCTACAGCTAGAAATGTAAAATGTTATAAAGATGCATATCCCAAACATACCTACAAATTCTGTATTAAAGATCGTCATTTAACACTTAACAAACACAGTGACTTTGCAAGAACTTAAAGGAATTATATCTGATAAATGAAACATAAAGAGAATCTGAATGCCTCACATCCATAGTCTCTCTTACTATTGCTACACTGCCACTCCTACTTGATTTGACCCTGGCAATGGAACCAGGAGAAGCTGCCACCTCCTATTACTGGACAGCATCAGCATTCCTTTGTCTTATTTAGTGCATCCACTTCCTTGTGTTAAGACAGACTAACCACTACTCCAAAAATTGGGGTGGCACTTCTTCAAAACTGAAGGTGGATAGGGGAAGGGAACCTGTTATAAATCAATCTAACAACAAGGTACAAAGAACATATAAGGAACATAAGACTAAACAAAGATGAATCAGCATTTCCCCAACATATACTAAACGCCATCAGTACAGACCAATGACAGTAATCATGGAAATGACTGAGAAAGCCAAAAAAAAAGGAAGCATCATGAATATAAAAGAAGACTTCCACATACTACTCTGTCCAAAAAGTATCAGACCTTGGGCCAGGAAAAAAAAGTTCTGTATCTGGGTGGTTACAATACCTAATCGCCTTCAAAGTAGGCCCCTTGTGACTCCACACACTTAGCCCAGCGGTTGTTCCATCACTGGAAGCAATTCTGGAAGGCTTCTTATGGAATGGCGTGCAGCTGTGCCGTCGCGTTCTGTATGATGTCCTCATGGCTGTCAAAACAGCAGCCTTTTAGCGGTGTCTTCAATCTCGGGAACAGAAAGAAATCACAAGGAGCCATGTCAGGAGAGTAGGGAGCCTGGTGAACCTGCGGAATGCCATGCTTGGCCAGGAAACCCTGGATCAGGTGTGATGAATGAGCTGGGGTGTTGTCATGATGCAGCTGCCAGTTGCGTGCGTCCCACAGCTCCGGTCTCTTGTGCCGAACTGCATCACGAACATGGCGGAGGACTTCTTGGTAGTTCTCCTTATTGACAGTCTGGCCTAGTGGTGCGTACTCATGATGCACAACACCCCGGTAATTGAAAAAAAGTCAGTATCACCTTTACATTGCTCCGAACCTGTCATGCTCTTTTGGGCCTCAGGGATGTTGGATGCTTCCATTGTGACACCTGGACCTTGGTTTCCGGGTCATATCCATACACCCACGACTTGTCACCAGTGATCACAGTCTTCAGGAACTCAGGATCCCTATTGGCGCACTCCAGCATGTCCTGTGCGACCTCAAGACAGTTGTTGCTGCTCCAGCAAAAGCAGCTTAGGCACAAATATTGCTGCCACTCTTTGCATGCCCAAATCCTCAGTTAAAATTGTGTTTGCAGAACCTCTGCTGATCCCAACCTCATCAGCAAATTCACGGATGGCCAAACGATGGTCCTCCATGATCAGTGTACGCACTTTTTCAATGACATCAGCATTGATGGTCTCCCGGAATGCTGCTCACTGTCCGCCGACATACGGCCATGATTAAAGTGGTTGAACCACTCTTTAATTTGAGTGACCCCCTTTGCATCATCGCCGAAAGCCTGCTGAATTTTGCGGATTGTTTCCACTTGGGTATCCCCAAGTTTCTGACAAAACTTAATGCAGTATCGCTGCTCCAAGCATTCTGTCATCTTGAGCGAAATGAGAATGCGACAAACATGTGTTACACTACTTCGCTATCTGGCACCCACAGATGCATCCAGCAGTGTTGCAAGTCAGCAAAAAATCACGCATGCACATGAAAGTCCCTTCTACCATTACGCTCAGTTTCCCCCACCCCTTTGGCCATTACTTACAGCGGAAAAAAATAAAGTCGGATACTTTTTGGACATACAGTATATCACTTTAATAAGCTCAAAAAATTGATAGAACAACAAAAACACACACAAGAAAGTAATAACCAACATAACATGTTCGACCTCATAATACAACATCAGAACACCCCCACGTTAACGTCACAGACAAAGGAAGTATAAATACGCAGCGCAACACACTTTAGAATGGTAAAAACAACACAGCATGACACAAACACACANTTAACTTAAATAACAGAAGTTTTAAAAAATTTTAATATACCAAGACAACCATTGTAGTTGTGAAAACTTTGGATTTTGTATATATTGTGTATTACAAACATTGTATGTGCATATATTTTAACATTCAGAACACCCATTGTAATAGTGGTTTCCAAAGAGTATCTATGTCCCTCTGATGATGGTCTATAGGGACTGAAACGTGTAAGGGTTTTAAGAACTGAAGTAGTAAAAACTTCAACAGTCACACTGGATGGAGTTGTTTCCTCTTTTATAATGTTGTTAGTGTGACGGACCAGAATGAAACAAATCAATCTGCTATATTCAGCAGGACACATCATTTTGAGTGCCTTACTATATTCAGTACCATTTAAGGACTCTGTACCCTATTATCTTACACCGAATTACCATCAGCAGCAGTGATCTGAAAATAAAATAAAAATGGGGGAATAATAGTTACACAGCCAGGTTCAAAATGATGGCTGTAAAATATGCAGGAAAGAGCATACATTGCACTCTTTCTTACTATTATGCATCTGTAATATTCCTAACCTCAATGATCTAATATGTAAAACTGTACTTTGAAAAGTAGTACTCACATACTGTATGTTCTGCAAGTTTCAGATACAATTTCTGGGTGGTAAAAAGATACATAAATTAAACCTGTCAATGTGGTAATGATAAACTCCTGAAATGTGATGAGAAAGAAATGGCCAATGAGTTTTGATCATTTTAGTATTCCTGTAAGAAGCGGTGTCATATGAAATATATGAGGAGTATTCACAAAGTAACTTATGGCAAGCTGTTAACAAACCAAGTATTAAGAAAAAAAATTATTATATCAAAAAAAATTGTACATACTTAAGCTACTTCTAGATGTAGTCACTGCCAGGATTGAGGCACTTGTCCTATCAGGGAATAAGTTTTTGTATGTATGTCTCACAGAAGTGAGCTCGGCAATGTTTTGACATCCTATTTGCTCTTCATTACTGTTGAAGTGCTTTCATTGAAATCAGTTGTTCAGGTAGATAAACAGGTGGCAACTGCTCAGAGTGAGATCACGGTTGTAAGGAAGCTGGTCACACAACTCCCAGTTGAAATGCTCCAGCAGTGCCCAAGTGCAAGCAGCTGTATGCAGATGTGAATTGTCATGGAGGAACACTATATACCAGATATCAGCATTCCATGCCTTTTGATCGAATTGCCCTACACAGTATTTTCAGTGTTTCGCAATACACTTGTGATGTTACTGTGGTCCCTTGTGCATTAATTCCACCTCCAGCACTCCTTTTCTGTCCCAGAAAACACCTGCCATCAGTTTACTGGCAGATTTTTGTTGAAACTTTTTTCTGCTTGTTTCATGAATGTGTGTGCATCCACTGCTTTGACTGCTCTTTCGTGTCAACACTGATAAATTAAACCCAGGTTTCATTATCTGCTACTTGTACAATATGATTGAGAAATTCATTGCACTGTGGTATGCCTCTAAAACGTCAAAGCTGAAGCCATGCATTGCATTTTGTGTGCACCTGTGAGAATTTTCAGAACCCGTAATTTGAAAACTTACCCCTATCTTCTGGTTTCTGCCGTGGAGTTCGGTATCGTGATGCTACTCCACCAAATCTTTCCTTAAACTCTCGGCGTCGGTTAACAGAATCCTCAGCTCGTTGCCGGCGCCGCTTTTCTGTACATTAAGTATCACTTTCAATAAATCATCACAAGGGAACAATCATACCCAATGCAATCCCTCACACATATAAGTCACAGACTTCCAAAATAAGGCAGTCAAATACAGACTACTATTTTTGGAAGCATAGTGTACTCTTCATAATTTACAAACTTTTGTTAATCTACAGTTGAATCATGGCTTATCACTCTTATTTTATATAAGGAAATATGGTAATATCTTGTATGTGCATCATCCATCCATGTCAGTACATATGAATACCCCTAATAATATGTAACTGATGAATAGGAGTTATATAAAATGTGGTTTGAATATCACGCCAACAGAAGTCACTATGCCTTTATGTGTCTTAATTTACTACAGTAATAACATGATGGATGTGAGAACTCCTAGTGCCACTTAACAGAGTTTTCAAGATCTCTGAAAAATTTGCAGTTCTGGTTATGGAAGAACTTTTATAGAATGCAAACAATGTAATGGCTGTACATAATCAGTTTGAGAGTTAATTAACCACTGAAGCTAAGACTGCAAATCTTGAATGAAGATAGATCACAACACAGACACTTTGTAATAACCATTTCTTTTGCATGGTAAGATTAAAAATATGGTGAAGGTGTGGAACTATGGGGTTCTTTTTGACATGTTTAAAATAGTCCACATCGGTACTAGTGGAAACTATGCACAGAAAAGGATGGCTAAACTGGCATTATTGGCTTACATTTCTTGATAACCTCACCATATCCCTTACAAAATGTCTTGTTATATGTCTGACTCCATTTTATAAAGATAAAAAGGTAGTATCCCTGTAACAGACCACGGAAGCCCACAGAGTTGTGAGATGTTAAGGTTCCCATATTTTCTAGGCAAGTGGCTCACAGATGGCACTGAGGCTGTCAGCCTTATGTGCTGGGCACCCTTTACCCCCAGAAGATTCCTAGTACTCATTTCTGTTAAGAGGCTCATGGGGGGGGGACTCCAATGAATTGACATTTTTAACACAGTGAAAACACAACAGTACAAGTATAGTTTACAAGGACATCACCACAGTGACAAAAACAACTGAAACTGACAATTTCTTAATGTTGTACATATAAAACCACTGCATAAAATGGTGACATTTTCCCAGCAAGATTCCTAAATAGCTGTCTCTGTTTCCCAGTAATTTTTTGCACCACCTACACTTGCAGTTTTGCTTCTGAAGTCATTTATGGCTAGCAGACTGCTGTGGCGGGAGACTTTGGAGCGCTGGCAGGCCTGGCAAGCACGTGCCCAGGAGCGGCAATCCTTCTGCACGCCTGGCCACACGAAACGCTGTGCGACCAGTTTTGCCGTTGCTTTGGTCCCTGGATGCGACAGATCATGGACGGACTGGAACACTTGGAACCGAAGAGGAGCTGGGATGTACGGCCGAGGTTTCCCGGCAGAGGTATCGCAGTAGATGGACACCGTGGTACCAGGGATTGGTAGCTTTTCGAGCCGCAAGGCGGTGTTTGACTGCCGAAGTGATTGGAGTTCGTCGTTGCTGTCCTGCGATGCGGCCAATGCGTCGTAGGACGGTGGCGCCGTGATGGATTCGACGCGGGAAAGCGCGTCGGCAACGACGTTGTCCTGTCCCGAGATGTGTCGGATGTCGGTCGTGAATTGTGCTATGAAATCCAGGTGGTTGAATTGCCTTGGTGAGCATTTGTCCCTTTTCTGCTGGAAAGCGTAGGTGATAGGTTTGTGGTCTGTGAAGATGCTGAAGTGGCGCGCTTCCAGCATGTGGCGAAAGTGCTTTACGGCCTCGTAGATGGCCAGCAGCTCGCGGTCATACGCACTGTATTTTTGCTGGGCCGGGTTGAGTTTTCTTGAGAAGAATGCCAGGGGCTGCCAGGCGTTCTTGACGCGTTGCTGTAGTACGGCACCCATTGCGGACGTGGAGGCATCTGTGACGAGTGCAAGTGGCGCGGATGGATCGGGGTGAGCCAGTAGTGTGGCGCGTGACAAACTCGCCTTGCACTCTTCGAAGGCCCTGTGGAGCTCCGGTGTCCAAGTGATGGGGTGGGAGCCCTTGACCTTGGGTCCGGAGAGGACGTCGTGCAGTGGTGCCTGGTGTGCTGCCGCGTGGGGCAGAAATCGCCTATAGTAGTTCAGCATGCCCAGGAAACGGCGGAGTTGACTGGCGGTTTTGGGAGGTTGACATTCCTGAAGGTGAGTCACTCGTTCTTCCAGCGGTTGGGAGCCTTCGGCGGACGCCTTATAACCGAGGAAGGTGATCTCACGTACTCGGAAGACGCACTTCGCCGGGTTGATGAGGATCCCATACTTCTGCAGTCAGTCGAAGAGTGCCCGTAGGTGTTTACCGTTTACCGTTGTTTACTCGTCGTTGCTAAGCAATGACGCTTGCATTGTCACACTTGCTTGAATGTGGGCAGTTCCCACACTGCAAAGGACCCATTAACTCACTCTCTCGGTCCTCTAGGAGAAAGTTTACATTCCAGAATTTGTGAGCAGCTTATTCCTCCAAGTTTTAGCCACTGGGAAACATACATCACATGTTCACAGCACCATATACCACCTTCCCTTCCTTGTGACACACACACACACACACAGTCATCTAATTCAGGTGGGATGATGTCATAGAACACAACTACACAGGGGAATATTTAATGTTCCATCACACTGAACATCTACTGTGTTCTAGTTCGCACTCTCTCATGGAGCTGAGCCCGTCTTGAGAAACCGCCAATTGTGCAACTACTCAAGAATTTCCCAGCATTTTATGTAACCTGAAGGTTCATACCGTGTTCACAAGGGCCCTCCACTGGTCCCTATCCTGAGCCAGGTCAATCCAGTCCATACCATCCCATCCTATCTCTCTAAGATCCATTTTAATATTGTTCACCCACCTACACCTCGGTCTTCTCCAACCTCCTATGACTTCATCTCTCTTCAGTCAAAATATTCTCCTCAACACCCTCAGTCTATGTTCCTCCTTTAATGTCAGAGACCAAGTTTCACACCCATACAGAACTACAGACAAAATTATTCTTTTGTATATTCCAATTTTTAAGTTTTTGGACAGCAGATGAGAAGAAAAAGGTTCTGGACTTAATGGTAGCAAGCATTACCCGAGTTCAATCTCCTCTTAATTTCCTCCTGAATCAGGTTTTGATTTGTTATTATTGTTCCCAAATATCTGAACTGTACCACAATTTCAAAAGATCTGTTACCTGTCTTTGTCATGATTTTGCCCTTCATTTTGGTGATGAGACAGCAACATGTACTTAGTTTTCTCTGTGTTTACTTCTAGACCAACCTCCTTAATTGCATCAAAGTCTGTATGTTTTTCTTTATGGTATCTATTTCAGTTGGCAATAACTGAAAAATTTTGTGAAACAAAAATCAAGGCAACAAAATGAAAGAGCTTACACTTGAATATGAAAATTTAAATGATAAATTGGGGTGAAGTCAGCAGCTCACCAATAAATGAAACATGAAGGTAGTATGGACTGATGACATTTTTGATACTGATGAACCAAGACAAAATAGGGTATATACTAAACCAAAGGCAATTAATACTGTTCCTTTCTCTTGTCATTACTGTGTAAATAGGATAAGTTGACAGCATATACGTGGATGCATTTTTGAATAGCTTCATGTGTAACCACTGTGATTTCTTGAGTTTTCTTGTGTGAAAACTTCAGTTGTACTGTACATATGTTTTTCCACTTACACGACTTATTCCACAGCCTACTGTGATTCTGACTAACTATGGATTCAAGGAATTCAATGTAACATAATGAAATTCATTTCATGATCTCAATTTATGACTGTGTGATGGACATACTGAAATGAGACTGTGCTACCAATGTTAACATTAAGGGCGTGTGAACTATAGAAGATGGTACAGATTCTATCCAGTTGTCTTATGTAAAGGTAAAAATAAAGGTATCCCTGTAACAGGCCATGGAGGCCCATAGGGTTGTGAGATGTTGAGGTTCCCACATTTTCTAGACAATCGGCTCATAGATGGTGGTAAGGCTGTCAGCCCTACACGCTGGCCACCCTTTACCCCCAAGAATATTCCAAGAATAATCCTGGTACTCATTTTTGTTAAGAGGCTGAGTTGACCCCAGGGCCATAGTGCGGCTGGAAGGATTACGTCAATTGAAAAAAGCTAATGACCTCATTGGGACTTGAACCTGCGACCTTCCGGCTTGTAGGATAGTGCCTCAACCAACCATGCTACTGCGTGCCCCCCATCTCTTATGAAGAGGCTTATTTTTATTACAAGCATGGTAATGTAACAATATTATATTTGAGCATCCTGTTACACTCACACAATATATATGAGACAAACACCGTCTTAAGTGTAACAATTTAATTGTAGTTCTTTCTTCTTCCCCTCCTCCACACTACATGTTTCGGCCCTAAATGGCCATCATCAGGTGTGTATTCTTACGTAGCTGTTACACTGCCTGTTAAAATTTAAAATCACCAGTCTTTCTAATTGTATAAAATCTTTGTTAACCTACACGCATTAATTTGATTTCTAAAATTAGCACTTTTTTAAAACTTTAATGCAAGTTAAAATGTCTATAAGATTTCTGTTCTTTCTTTGTTACACTTAAGACGGTGTTTGTCTCATATATATGGTAATGTAAATATATCATTTGACAGAAAAATAAACAGTTATGGATTCACATACATGTGCCATTACTGTAACATGCATTTTACAGTTAACTATAATGACTGATTCACAACCTTTACTTCAATATGTACAGTCATAAAGTTGCACAAATTCTAATAATGGAATTTAGAACAATCCTTGTCATGGTACATGGCGGTGTCAGTGTGCTTTAAACTGCTCTATGTATGAGTACATCTGTTACACAAGTTTGATACAAATTTGTGTTTATTCACATATAGACACATGTGCTGTAAACTGTGGGTGGGACTGGTGAGCAGAATATGAATGATCTGTGCTCACTCATGTATGCAGAAAATGGTGGGGCTTTTGCTTGTAAAGGGCAGCTCCTAATTAATAGTCAGTTTCAAGGAGAAGGATTATCTAAGTTCAAGAAAAATCTTTAGCTCTTTGGTTCACATAATGAATTATTCTTCATTATTTTCATATCCCCATGACAATCACTCCAAAAAAGAGGAAATATTGCTGTATCCACATTGTTATTTAAACCTTAGTTCCACACTGAATTATTCACCATCAGAAGTTAGGGGACAAACTTACAATTTTGTATGTGAACCATTTTCAGACACTTGAGTATCTGCTACAACAATAATTTTATAAATTCTTGTAATATCTTGCTTTCACTGTGTTTTACTGTACTCCTTTTAATAGAGTAATAATGGACTAGTTAAATTCATCTCTGTACTTCAGCACCATGCCATGCATGCATATGTATGGGTGCAGGCATAGCTTAACACATGTTTAACTTCAGCAATAGATGAAGGTGTGTGGTTGGCTTCACAACAAAGCCACTTTACACCAGGGGGAAAAATCCAGTACCTAATAGCTATAATCAGTACTAGCATTTCTCATAGTTACAATTCAGGCCTCAAAATTAACCACTATTAGAAACAAATACAGCAAATCCTTGATTTATTGAATTTCGGATTTAACAGCCAAAAATTCTTTGGTACTTTCCCTTTATTCTCAGGTTCATATGTTGGTACCTCCCTGTAATAGTCTGGTTGTTATGTTCTGTATGTGTACTTCATCAGTTGTGCTATGAATATAACATGTACCTAGTACATAGATCATTCTATTACATATTAAATTTGTGCTGTTGGTTTCATACAGACACTATTTTATGGACATTTGGATTTAACTAACATTCAGCAATACTGGACACACACTTCCCCAATTAGTCTGTTAAATTTATGATATACTGTATAAAATTAAAGTACATTTATACAATGTGCTTATAGCAGACATAAAATTGCAACCTCTCTTGATGAGCTCTCGGCCTTCTTCCACAAGATCAGCAGTCACTTCATCATCACCAACAAACTGCTGGAATCCAAGCAATGATAGCAGTCGTGATCCTACACTGAAGTATGTTGCCAAACAGAAGGCCAGCATTGCCATGGGGAAATACACATTAAAGCCATCAGACACAATAGATATCACATCCATGTGCCCCATAACCTGCAAAAGGAAGATCTTAACTTTTGGACAATTATGTTGGGCATTATTGCAAGAATGCAATTCACTTCTGCCAATAGTGTTGGATCATTTAAGCATGACAAACCCATGCTAGTCTCTATTTTTATTGCAGCCAGCTTGTTCTCTGTGAGGACAAGTCAAATTTGAGAACATACATAGCTAGATGGAAATTTCTGCCTATATATTCACATATGGTTACACTTATAATCTTCAAAAGCTTAAAACAATATTTTAAGCTATTATATAACAAGTGTGTTCACTGCATTTAGTAATTTTAAGATTGAAAAATAACACTGTCAAACATATCTGTAACTTGAGGGCTATATGGAAAGTAACCTCCAGAAAGCTGTTAACAGAACAAGCAATGAGAAAAAATGTACATACTTAAGCTACTTCTCAGTGTAGACACTGTCAGAATTGAGGCACTTGTCAAATCGGGGAATAAGTTTTCATATGCCTGTGTCAAAGAAGTCTTCCGCTTGTGAGCTCAGCCACGCTTTGACACCTTCTTTCTTGAAGTCACTAGCCTCCATTTAGTTTCACTATTCCTTTCATGTTCCAGATGCAGTGTCTTCACAATTCCCATCTTATGTCTCACATTCACTGCTCACTCTCTCATGCTCACTGCCCGCATTCCCAACATCTTCCCTTTTCTCCATTCCATCAGATATACAGCAGTCTTTACATCCTCTGACTTTCTTTTCTAGAGAGATCCATTGCCATGGTTTGATCCACAGGTGCAGCAGTTACATACTGAGCTTCTTAACTGTTCTGGTGGTGCCAAAACATGGTTTCCTGCCAACAGCCATCCAGAATACAACTGTTTCGAACATTCCTTAAAAGGCCTATTCACAACATGTAGTTATGAAGACATCCTTCCAGATACAACCATAAAGTCAGTATTCACTGCATGAATCATAGATCAGACATGAACTGATGATTGACTTTTAAATGCATCCAGCACAAAACATTCCTTATTTAATAAACAATTCCCTTTGTCTCCTGTTCCAGAGAACTTATAACCAGTCCCACACCATTTCATTTAGTCATCCATCTCTTTGTTTTAATAACTCTGGCAGCACTATGCTCACATCTTTTCTCTGCACCTTTTCATTACAACAGGTTTTGCACCTACATCATGAATGGCTTAGCTGGATGGCATACTGATATACACTGGCATTTCCTCAAAGTGTGATGGTAACTACTTCTGAAGAGAAGACCTTGACTGCAAAGAAAACCTGTTCCTCTGCATCACTTGTTCAAACCACCTTGAGCTGGACACAATTTTGGCATCCTGTAAACAGTGGATATTGCATGAAATTGACGTTCCAGTCTGTCTCTGAATTAGCAAAATACACTGACGCTGAACAGCAGTCAACTTCAGGTTCTCCACCTTCAGAGACATTGTATTTTCATGCTGTTTCACAGTTCTCTATTTGTTCCATGTATTTAATCATAACTTCAGTGCCTAACACTTTCTGACAAATTATTCCCTTTCATACTAGTTCTCTCCTTGACATAATCTGTCATTTTTATGTTGACCAACAGATGCAGTTTCACAAGCACAGAATCTTGCAGTACTGCTAATCAACAATTTTCTTTCAAATACAATACACGTCTCTTCTAACACGACCCTGATGTACAAAGCAAAAGTGGTTATCAGGAAACTCTTGAAATTCAAGAATAAAAAATTAAGTGTGAATCGAGATAGAATTTTTTGCTTCATCTTGAGAATTTAAGACTCGAATATGACTAGGCTCAACCATATGTACAGAAAAACACTCCAAACCAATGGGTTAAACGATTTTTACAAAATTATGGATTACATCTATAAATATAATATCTTCAGCACAACAACCATCTAAAGTTTTCTTTCAGACGAGCTTCAATTAACAATTCCTGACCCCTGAGGCCAGTTGTAAGTTGTGCCAGTACCTTCTCATGATACTTAACATTTTCATGCAGTTAAGTTGTGTTAATATTGCAGACAATGCAATGCACATGGTGATGAACAATGGTTCAGTTGAACTGGCAGGTGAGGATAGCCAACCTCTCATATCAGACACAAACCAACCAAATATGAAACAGCAATGGTATCCACTACAATATACCTGTGTGTAATGTGTTTCCCAAATATGATCCTTAATAATGTGGCTATCCATGTGAATGAGGCCAAGAAAATTGAGACACATAGGCGGCGTGAGTCGACACAGCATCATTCCCGAAAATATCAGCGAGTATTCATCTGTTTGGTGATGAGGTGCTAAGTAGTATAAATTCAGAAGTCGTATTTTCAGCACTGTTGAATATGCACAGTAACACATATATGCAATGATCATAGTGGACAAAACCTGAAAGAAGAAATGTAATTACTGAAGGCACACTGTATTATCAAATATGCTCAAAATCAACATCAAAATTGATGTAATCTACAAAGAACATACATTTACTGTACACAGTTCCATGTTCAGCAATAATTCTTCACTCTCCAAAGAATATCTCAATGTTAAATTCAACAATCATACTTATTCCCCAATGCATATATCAATGTTCAACAATTACTGTAATTCCAAGGATTTAAACTGTGACATATCTTTGTGAGAGAACATAAAAGTTAAAATTATGGCCCAGGATAATAAAGCTCCAGCATTTATTCAAACATAATCTCCTTAGCTTCAGGAAACTTTCTGAAAGGCACTGAATGGAACAATGGACATGAATGAGAATTAAGAATCTGACAGGCAGCTGAAGGGGTGCAGAAAAATGTCACTAATAATCTACCTAGTAACAACTGCATCATGTCACACTGCATACCATGTAAATGCTTCCTGCTTCAGAACACCTTCCTCTTAACTGTGTGAAACTCATTCCATTTATTTTCATATGCATTAAACATGAATATATACATGGCATAACCAAAAAAAAAACAAAGTTTCTTCCTCATGTCATTTGGAACTGTTACACAGTAAAAAAGCAAGACATAAATTTAAATGTGAAGGACCTAACACGTTCGAATGTTTCAATGAAAGTAGAACAACTGCTTTTTCAGGAAAAGTTTAGTTACTCTGATGGCACTTAAATGTGAAAAGATTTCAGTCTAGACAGTTCACCTTTGGGAAAATATACATGATGATCCTCACTTCATGAAGATTTGCATTATGAAATTTCACTCATAACATTATTTATACTGAAGTGCACATTCTTGGCTTGGCCTGCCATCTAAATACAAACTTACTCATCTCTAATCCTTTTCAAACTGAAATAAACAAATGCAGTGTCACCCAATCAGTCCCCCTCATGTTTTGCTCTGCTATGTTGTACACTTTGTGTAAGACTTTCCTCCTTTCTGATAATTCTAGCAGATTTTATTGGCCTTTTTTATAGCATAAACTGATTTTTCCAGTGTTTTATGCATTAATTTCAGGCACAAAAATTGGAAATACATAACCTCAATTACAACATTCCAACTATGGAAAATAATGATTCACTTTACAAATTTTGCTTCACAATCTCTCTCCACGAATGCAACTATTCATGAGAACAGGGGCTACCAGCTGTTAACCTTCAAAGAAGTTTGTGATAATTCTGAGGTATTTACTTTGAAATCTTCAAAGTAATTTTGTGTATTTTGAGTAGGCAAAATTCGATAGTATGTTGTTTTCTTAAGACTGCTTACAGAGTTTGGAATAATAATGATACTCACCTCTATGGTGAAGTAATCGTAGTTTACTTTAGCTGGATTGAGGAATTTTGCAAAAAGTGACAGAGGTTCCTTATTGAAGAAGGTTACCTCTGACCAGACAACAGCTGCTGATAGTAATCCAGCTACAATAGCAGCCATTTTGAGTACATAGCCATGAATCACACATTTCCAATACCACTCTGAAATAAGTCATAACATGATACAATAACCACTGCACATATAGAATGATTAAACCAGGATTAATTAAGGTAGAAAATGTTCACTAAATACATTTTTTTTTGACTATATAAGGGCTCTTTGGAAAAGAACTCAGAATTGAGGCACTTGTCACGTCAGGAAATAAGTTTTTGTATGCCTGTGTCAAAGAGGTCTGTTGCCTGCGAACTCAGCCACGTTTCGATACCTTCCATCAGCTCCATAGGTAAACAGGTGGTAGTCACTCAAAGCAAGACCAAGCCTGTAAAAAGTATGGTCAAACAACTCCCAGTTGAAATGCTTCAGCAGCACCGAAATGTGATCAGACACATGAGGACACGCGGCCATTGAGAAGCATAACACCAAATGTCAGTATTCCACGACTTTGGTTCTGAGTTGCCGTACACATTTTTTTTAGTGTTTTGCTATACACTTCTGATATTACCGTGGTCCCTTGCTGCATAAATTCCACCATCAGCACTCCTTTCCTATTCCAGAAAACAGCTGCCATCAGCTTTCTGGCAGATGTTTGTTTAAACATTTTTGGCTTGTATGGTGAATGAGTAAGCATCCACGGTTTTGACTGCTCTTTGGTTTCAACATTCATAAATAAAACCCTGATATTCATCACCTGTTACTTGTATAATGTGACTGACAAATTCATCACTATCTTTGTGCTATTGCTCTAAAAATTCAAACCTGAAGCCATTCTCTGCATTTCGTGCACACCTGTGAGCTTTTTTTTTGAAACCCATCTTGCACAAAATTTTGATGGTCTAGCCTAACTGTGATAGTCTCATAGAGAACAGTGCATGAAATTTGTGGAAACTCACACAAAAGTTCAGAAATTGTGAAGCGCTATCTTTCATATTTTTTTTCGTCAATACTTCGAACAATAACATCACTCCCTACAGATGGCCAACCTCTTTGCTCCATTGTGAACATTTGTTCGCCCATATGTGAACATTCTACCCTGTTGTCTTACAATTCCTTCACTATTTACATTCTGGCTGTAAACTGCCATCCATAAATCATGCTGGATTTCCAAAGCACTCATGTTTCTAGCATAAAGATACTGCTAACAGCAGATGATGGCATTATCAATTGCAGGACACATCATAACTCACGCTGTAGAGACAAGAACAAATACTAGGTGACCAGTTATGTTAAGGTTTGCAAGGCAATGAGTCATGTGATGCTACCTTGCATGTGTGAGCTTGCCCCTGCTACTATATTAGTTGGCTAAAATAAATGGAGTTACTTTCTGAATAGCCCTCATAATATAAACAACATGAATTGAAAAATAATAGCTGAGAATGGGAGAATATCAACCAACAAGACTGTTAGTGTCTAAGAGAAATCCATCTCATCTGGAATCCTTTCTATCACTACCATCATCATCTTCTGAAGTTTCTATTATGGTGAGAATTCTTATAACAAAATCTCCTCCTTCATTCTCCCATACCCCTCTTCATATGTGCATGTTTACTGTTTTCCTTATTCTCATTTCTTGTGTATATATGATCTCTAAATATAGTCCTTGGTTTCTGCAAAGGTCATTTAATCACTGTCCTCATTTCTGTTGTTCTGGAATGAGTCCTTTCCCATTTATAATATCATACAATTAATTGACTGGCAAAGATGCAAAAATGAACGTCATGAATAAATTATATGGAGCCCACAGTCACAGTGCACATTTCAGTCTTCAAAATTCATGTTTTACTTCATAAATCTTTCCTGTACAGAAGCCCTTCACTGTATACACTGTATAGAATCACATTTTGTTCATCAAAACCTACCAAAAATCACTTGATTATCCTGTTCTTCATGAACTTAACAGGAATCTCACTTCAGTATCTTCGAGACAAAACTTGGTATGTCACATTACTCAAAGTAACTATGCATTTGTTTTTTCTTTATTCTTTCCTCCACATATACCAAGAACATGGTTATGTGAGATGAGACTGGCATGGCTGCCAACAGGGGAGGAGTAAACTGCATGTTTTCCCCACCCTTGGATTAAAAAAAAAATGAAGGGGAAATCCAAAATATGCAACTAACACACAGTAAACCCTTCTCATAATGGACCTGAAACATGATGGATTTCAGTAAAAAGAAAATATATTTGTGTACAACTGTAAATTGTTTGAGATGCTGAGGCACTAAGAAGGTGTTTTAGTTAGGAAACTATTTAAAATAAAAGAGAACACCAATATAAAAACCTTTATATGACTACACTGTGTGATTCTATGTTTACTGTGTGTACTGACTATGTACCCTATGATGTACTTCTGTGAATAACCTTTCACTCAGTTATAATGGATATCAGTGATAACAGACATCCTATCCCCACTCTTAGTCTGTTATAACAAGAATTTACAGAGCTTGTTTTAATCAGAAGAAATAGTTTTAAATGGCTTATATGTAAGTACATAAGAAAATTTTCTGGCTGCCACTCCTGGTGGAACTATGGAGAAGAGAACATCAACCAAAGTAATATCAGTAAAAATAAAGCAAAATGTGTAATATCTCTTGCATACAACTACAAACTACAGCCTTACCAATAGTTGGACTGTACAGAACACGAAGCCAAAATGGTCTTGGTGACTGAAAGGTTGGTTTGAATCGATGATCATGACTAACTTGATTTTGAGCTACATCTTCTAGCATCAGAATATGATCCACAAGAAGACCCCACTGTGTTTCTGTGCGGTGTTGTGTCTGTAAGGCTTTAATAACCTGCAAAATGGAACATTAAATTGGAAATTAACAAAAGAGAAAACAATTTTTTCCATTAATTTAATAACTTCATTATAAAAAATGTTAATATATAAAAAGCGTTTGTGTATTGGTGTCACCTGCATAGACACCATTCATAATTAATGGCAACACTTACTCCATGAAGATGAGCCCTTCTTAAGAAGCCATCACATGTGCAGCTACTCCAGAATTTCCCAACATTTTATGGAACCCATAGGTTCATTACCATGTTCACAAGGGTCATCCACTGGTCCCTATGCTAAACCAGATCAATCCAGATCCATTTCAGTGCTATCCACCCACCTACATCTTGGTCTTCTCAGTGGTCTCTTTCCTTCTGGCTTTCCCACCAATAACCTATATGCATTCCTATTCGCTCCCATTAATGCCACATGCACTGCCCACCTGATCCTCCTTGACTTGATCATTCTAATTACACATGACGAAGAGTACAAGTTATGAAGCTCCTCAATTTACAGTTTTCTCCAACCTCCTGTCACCTCATCCCTCTTCAGTCCACATATTCTCCTCACCACCCTGCTCTCACACACCCTCAGCCCCATGTCCCACCCTTAACATCAGAGACCAAGTTTCACAATCATACAGAATCACAGTCACAATTATAGTTTTATATATTATAATTTTTACATTTTTAGGCAGCAAACAAGAAGACAAAAGGTTCTGGACTGAATGGTAGCAAGCATTACCAGAATTCAGTGTCCTCTTAATTTCCTCCCGAATGCAAATGGCTCACTGTAATACATATCAGTTCCCTTTGTGTTTCTACTCTGAAGGCTTCATTAACAGTATTTCAACAGGTGAAGAAAGTGCATTCACTTTGTTCTAAGACAGGAAATAAAACAGAGCGAATCTGTGCTAGGGATAAACTTTAAGAAACTAGAACCTGTATAGGACATTTACCTTGCAAATCACTGATGCAACTGGCTCAAAAAGAACAGGTTCCGATGAACAGTGTGCAGGGTGACTAAGAAGTTATGTCTACTGCCACATAAAATTAGACATGTTCAAGCAACTGAAGATGGTGTTTACAAGATACAAACATGTTTCTGTCACTGCTTCTATATATGGCAATATGGGCAATATATGAAGATGTTTTTGACCCAAAACTTACACTTTTACTGATGAATCTTGGTTCCATTTGAGGGCATATATCAATGCTCAGAACAGATATTGGAGATTTAACCTAATGTTCTCTATTTGTGATGCTATAAACATCAAAATCTAAATAAAATTCTTGCCTCTTTTCATACTAATTTGTTGTAACAAACTTCCTTAGCCTCTGCTTCAAATTTGCCATATTTTCTGGTAATGATGAAACATGAACCTCATACTTTACAAACCTATGTAGAAAAAAGTCAGGCAGAATTAAATGATACAGAGTAAATGCACTGACTGTGGGATGTCTTTTCCATGACTGCAAAAATGACCAACGACTAACATATTCAATGGGAGTGTGCAGTTTTACACCTCTCGTATACAAAAATGTTGCTTCATCACTAAAATAAGCTCTTCACAGACAACACCACCGCTACGGCCACCACCACAGCACTTCTAAAATCTTGTATTTCTACGATCAAATTACTACACACATATTCTTTGTTCTAAGACATTCATGTAACTGCCTCTACCCTATAACTGCCCCATCCAATTTATAGGAAACTGAAAAGGCACACTTGTCATTACTAGATTTTGTGTAGGAGTAAAATTTTCCAACTTGTACATTCATTGTGCTCTCCTGTTTGGAGGTAATGTTGTGCCAGGTATATGACCCAATTGTGTGAAAGCACAGATACAGAACAGGATGACTTTGCCAAGTCTGAAGAAAATTAACTGTTTTTAAGCCTATACAGAGAGTAAATGCCAGTAGGTTTAAAATTTCCATTACTGCTATACTACTTTAATCACAAGAGAAAAACTGTATAACTGTTCCACCATTGTTTTAATGCAAATGTGAAATCAAGTGAGGCAATCATGGCATTCCCTAAATTGTTAGGAAAAAGTTTAAATTTCTATTTAAATAAAACTTCTTGTAAAACATAACATGACCTGCTGCCATAAAATAATTTAGCAATAGTTTTGGAAGCCAATAATTCATCAGTAAAGAAATGCAAGTCCATAAATCTTACAGCAAAGCTGTACAAATAACATACCACAATATTTAATGAAATACCACTGATTATCTTAAAATAAGCCAGTACTGCAAACTTCCTAATCCTTGGTAAGACTCACATCAGTATACACCTAACAATAAAGGTATAGGAACCTGAATGACAGAAGTATTAAATGCAGCCAGCTCTAAAACCACTGGTCTTACAGTGTTTATAAAGCAGTGTAGGTTTCTTATTATGTTACAAATTTACATATAAGCACCTGTGATCTTGACCATCAGTATAAAACAATTTTAAGTCACTAAAATTTGTTTGGAAAGAGTAAAACATCTTTTATGAATGAAGATTGTGAAAACCACGTATAAAATCTGGTATCACCTGCTTGTGAAGTCGTATAAGTGCTTTATCTGAAGGTGCCTCAGTGGGTGTATCATCAGGAAGCTGACGTCGATTCATTCTTTCCTGTAGCTCAGGAGGGACTTTCTGAAGAATTGTCTCCAAGTTTTGATGTAAAGGATGGCCTGAACCTATTGACATGGACACTGCCTGAAGAGACTGAAAGAATGAAGAGAGCAATACAAATAGATGCTGGACATATGTATATCGTACAAACACTAAATTTTGCCTTGCAATATACATGTGATGGCTAAGTTGGTAAAGTGATGGTGATAGGTTACAGGGCTCAATTATACGAGGGTAAGTCAATAAGTAAGTTACAAATGGATACAGAACTTAAATAAGAGTACTGATTTGAAAAATGCTTTTATTTCTCAATATAATCTCCCTGTACATTGAGGCACTTGTCCCACTGTTTCGCAAGACCCTGAAAACCAGCAGCATAAAATTCTTTGGGCTACTGTCGGAACCAAGAGGTGACTTCCCTTTCTACAACTTCATCATCGGGAAAATGTTCATGTGAAAGATGATGTTCAAGAGGGCCAAACAAATGGAAGTCGCTTGGAGCAAGGTTGGGGCTATACGGAGGTTGCTCGAGGACTTCCAACTTGAAATTTCGCAGCATCTCATTTGTTTTGTTGGCAGTATGGCAACGCGCATTGTCATGAAAGAGCAACATGCCTTTGGTGAGGAGTCCTGGTCACTTCCATTGAATGGCCTTACGAAGTTTCCTGAGGATGTTACAGTAGGAGTCAGCAATTACGGTTTGTCCTTGAGGCTGGAATGTGGTGAGCAGTATGCCTTTGTGGTCCCATTCACCGCTTGGTTCCGACAGCAGCCCAATGAATTTCATGCTGCTGGTTTTCTGGGGCTTGTGAAATGATGGGACAAGTGCCTCAATGTACAGGGAGATTATGTTGAGAAATAAAAGCATTTTTCAAATCAGTACACTTTATTTGTTTAAGTTCTATATCCATTTGTAACTTACTTATTGACTTACCTATGTATTATTATGGGCCGCGCCAGAGCTCAAGCGGTTAGTTGCTGGCTTTCCACCGCAGCGGCCCGGGTTCGATCCCGGGTCTGGTCAAGTGGGATTTGTGGCAGACAGATTGGCACTGGGGCAGGTTTTCTCTGAGTACTTCACTTTCCCCTGCCAATCTTCATTCCACCAATTGCTCCACAATCACTCTCACCTATCATCTGGGGCTGGTACAATAGGCCAAAAGTGGCCGCAGTACAAGGGACTTAGTCCCACCCCACTAATAGAAAAAAAAATAATACCTACCTACTATACAAATATTTTAGAATTCCATTACTGCTCGACTTCACTCTTATATACGCACCTTCACATTATAACAGGGAACCCACAACCTTGTTCTAAGGTAAAAAGTTTTGCAAAAAATGGAGAGAAATTATGTAAGTAAGTAGAGTATGTGAAGGTTTAAGTTTAAAATTGCAAATGTTTCAGATTTGAGCTTTTCATGGCACTGAAGGCAGTCTGTAGTCTTCTGTATTATGACACCATACAATCTGGTATGTGGTTACCCAATCATTTAGGGGAACATGTTGCCACCAATATCAGGGTAGAAGTCACAGTGTCAAATGCAAAAAACCACAGTTTTCATTTGTGGTTGCTAATTCACCTCAAGAATATCATCAACAGTCTCTTCTGCTTCACACTTTTCAGAGCTGAGTTTGGCTGCTTTGAAGTAGCTGTAGTTCAGAACATAGCCACATTTGCTACAATTCCATAGAGAACGTGGAACTTCAACCAAAGCATAGCCTAAGAGTAACACAAGAAGGAACAGGCCCCATGTATTGCTAGCTGATGATGCAATAGCCTTCAGTTTCTGCCTGAAATCCAAACAACCCTTCATCTGATATCAGTTTACCAGTGAAAATACATACAAATACAAGGGCAAGGAAAGGAGAAGGAAAGAAGGTGTCAATGTTTTCAGTTGATAATATCTCTTGCTTAAAATTAATTCCTATATTTTTCTTTCATTTTAGTCAAATTAAATGCCAGATCCATAAGCCATCGCCTATATAGCTGGCAAGAAGAATTAAATTCAAAAATACATCATAGAGATCTGAAAGTTAAAATCATCAGCAAATGATAGGCTTGCAGAACTGAAGTAATAAAGTGGTTTGGTAACTTTTCTTCAAGTACATACTGCCTACAATCATACAATTCCTCTGTTAATTGTTTATCATGGTTTGAAATATTCTGGTTAACCTGAAAATAAGTACTGTGTACACCACAGACTTCAGTCCACATTACAATATTTCTGTACATTTTCCTGATGTCTGAATATCAAACTTCTGTCATAAATTATCTTCAATTTGATTCATCCATTTCTCACCCATCAAGGTCAAGACCTGGTTTCAATGCAATATAGATGAGCAGCACCCCACAAATGAATAGATAAGATCCATAGTAAATGGCATTGTCAATCAAAGCAGATTTCAGCTTTCCACGCACAGTGAAATCCCCAGCCTTTATGTAGGACTGCATCAATGGTAACACAAGCCTGTAACAACCAACAATAATTCTGATCAATTTAAACTATCAGAGACACTAGTTCTACTCTCACTTTCATATCAGATACAAGGAGACAAAGAAAAGATTCTGTCTACATCACAGTTTTTTATGATGCTTCTCAATCCTACTATTGGATGAATAAAGAGAAAGAATTCAAATGGAATCAGAAGAAACAAATCCTTGGAGATGTTTCAGGTGAGTATGTGAAACAGAAAGGGAAATAAGGTAGAAGATTGGATGCAAAAGAAGACATTGTGCAGACAACAAGAAATTAAACATCAAGGTGGCATAGGCTGAAAGAATAGATGAAAATGGACTAAAGTAACTAATTCACTGGATACCAACTGGAAAGGATGGCATGGAAGAAATAAAAATATTACCAATCAAAAGAAAAAAAAATTGAAGAGACTGGAATTAGCAGCAATGAGACAGAACATTAATGAAAACAGTATACTCATAGTAGAAATAGCAGAAAAGATTTGTGTGCTGGACACAAACCAAATTCTTTCAAATTATCTCTATTTTATGAATCCAAGCATTTGAAAAAATGCATGTATATGTAATATTTGCCTGCTATCTAAGACTTGGAACTGGATATGTTATTCTGCTGACATGCAAAATGTTATATATATGTGAGTGTGTGTTTATTCATATATAAATACAGACAAGGATATACTCAATTTTCTTAAATTCATTTTCATAGTTAAATAATATTAAACCATTATCTTTTAGTGACCTTATTTCCTAGTATACTTACCAAGTGAGACACTGTGATGTCCAATAAACAACACGCCATAAATTTAGTAAAACATTCTCAGGCACATTGCTCCATGGTTCCTCACAGTGAACAGGAAAGATACTGCTTGTATTTTCATCTTCCAGTGATGCATTCCCCAGACCAGACGGTATACTTGTTGAATTCACATGAGAAAGATACTGTCCATGAGTGAAATATTCCGGTTGTTTTTTTTGCATGCACTGGCGATACGCTGTCTGAGAGAAACAGTCACAAGTGATTACAAATTAGCTAATGAAGAACTACCATAAAAATGTGGTATATACAACAAATCCTCGTCCACTGTGGGGGTTAGGTTCCTTGAGAGTGGCACATCAGGTAAATCTATACTGGACAAACTTCATATTTTATGGGTTACATGAACCTGGCAGCATTAATTCTCTGATTTATACATAGTTTTTTACACACAAACAAAAAATGAACCCATTTATACTGCTCTAAGCTATCAAAAGCATCATGGTCTACAGCACAGGTTGATTACCCGATGACATCTTGGCTACATAAAGACTCAAATGTCTTGATAATTCCTAAGTTCATTTTTACACACAAAAAATGAACCCATCTATACTGCTCTAAGCTATCAAAAGCATCAGGATCTACAGCACAAGTTCACTACCGGTTGACATCTTGGCTATATAATAAGACTCAAATGTCTTGATAACTCCTTTATCCATTGGTTGTAGGACTCATGTAGTGTTAGAAGGTAAAAACATTACAATAAATTGTGATGACTGAACTGCAATGTTTCAACATCACAGCCAGGCGGCAGACTGTACATTAACTTTCTTTGCATTCACCAAAGAACCGTGTTGGACTTGTGGTTCTCACAGCACTGGCTATGAAAAGATCTATCTTCTGGGATACAATGCCACAAAATTCTGTACAATTTAACTGATATTTCAGAGGAACACACTGCCTCCATATTAAGGATCAAAGAGTATGCCAGCATGCAAAACTCTCTTTGTTGCCTGTTTCATGATTTCTTGCTTGAAGCTAGCTTCTTGCTTGGCTTATTCTTCAGCCCTGAAGATGGAGATGATATATTCATCTGAAATGTATCCCATAAGACAGAACTCCTCAGCAAATAACTGTTTGGTTTTGTTTTTGCCAGTATAAGAATATCCACATTGGAAAAGGGCTTACTGTATCCAAGATGCAAACTTAGAATTTAAGAATGTTATAAATGTCAGTGCTTCAGATGTCTCTGGTGTGCAGGTGACCATAACAACTGAGAGTGCTTAAAAAGAACAATGGTGCTAGCGAACTAAAATGCTGCAATTGAGGGACAGCATCCAAGCAGCTACACAGTGTGGATGTACAAAGAGCAGCGACACAGGATTCAGCATTCTGGAAACCGATCCCACTAACCACAGTATTATGTTCAAACAGATTATTCTAAGGGAAATGTATGCCCTGGCAGCAACAATAGTGAATCCAGGAAACTCATGACCAACCAAGAACGAGACTATGGAAACAGTGAAGCCAGCAGCTAACAGAAGTAGCACTGACAGTGATGTAATTACCTTCATTACCACAGTGCAACAACATGACAAGTATGAAGCTAGCGCAAGCATAAGATGAATGTTTCACCTTCATTACAAAGGCTGTCTTCATGCTCATAATGAAGAAATAATGTCCTACCTCTGTTGTATATGCAGCACACACTGCACCTGTCTACACATGTGAACCATTTTATCCTCATTGAGATCAAACCAAAGTTGGGGGGAGCAAGTGCCTTGCTGCACATCACAATATGGTCAGGAGTAAAAATGTTGATGTATCTGACACTAATTGAATTCAAAGTGCCCCTTTATTTAGGAATGGTCTTGACAAAACAGACAATGTAGGAATCTGCCTGAATCGACACACTCCCAGGTGAAAACGATTTTCAGTGTTCTGTATAAAACACCAGCAGGATGCTGTCTTCTTCTGCATCCTGGTTTCTTTCATTGTTAACAGAAAACTTCTGTTAAAACAAGTGATTTAAATTCACCTTACACAGAGTTGTCCTTGTGCTTAACCCTTTGCCTGTAGTTTACATTTATAACACTGATGTGGTGCTATCATCCCAATTGTTCTTTGATGTACAATGACAAGCAAAACACATTCTCTGGCCATATAATACAGAAGAGCATATGGCTGACACATGTTGATGACAGGATGAAACACTAGTGCAACCTATGCATTAATTTCAGATTGTCCAGAGGAAGAGCGGCCAACACATCTCAGCGACTGTTAGTTGACATTGAATTAACATCAGTACTAGATGACTTCACACTCTGGACACTTTAATCTGTAGGACTATTGTGTATTATGCGCATTTGTTTCAACCATCTAAGAATATGAGATATCATACTACTTCTAATATAAGACACACTTGAAGTTAAAAAGAATTCACTTTTTGAAAGTGGGTTTTAGGGAAAAAGATTAGAAAGGAGCACAATCCTCAAATTTAAGATGCACCTCAAGTATTCAATGGAGGAAGAAAGTGTAAAATGCATCTTATATTCAAAGTAATACAGTATATTATAATAAAGATGATCATCAAACAACAGAATAAGGTTTTCTGTAATGTATAAAAGAATATTTTAATACACTTTTACATACAGGATATAAGGGACAGCCAGTGATTTAAACAAAGCTTCACTTTGCTTCCATGGATTAGGAAAAAGTCCGATACAGACCTACGGATGTGGCAAGTATCTCACAGATTTCAATGATCCATATTGAGTTGTGATTAATTATGTTTTAACAGTTTTTATTAGTCACAGTTCTTTAGCTAGATTTTGTTAATTCTTTGCTGGGATAATGCAGTGTATCCTAAAGCCAAAGCCTAATCTCTGTGCCCTTTTCATAATCTTTTTTAATGTATTTAACATGGTAATGTTATGGAGTGTAGTCTTCTAAGATGTGACACCATACAGTCTTGTAGATGGATATGGACATTTTGGAGGAACACACTACCTCTATCTTCATGGCTGAAATGCTTCATTCAGCTACAGACTGCAAGGAAGGCAGATGGTGAGCCCCAAGGGAAGTCATAAGGAAATGGAGCTTGGTGTAGGCCAATGAGAATGGCTTGTATGAAAATTGTCCTTTCCAAGAACAAGGCTATACAGTGTCACAAGTTGATAGACCATNGGCCCTTTTAAGGGACACATAAGCCTTTGACACATGCAGGAAATGGAACAGCAAGAAGGTATGGCCCTTTCCAAGAACAAGGCTATACAGTGTCACAAGTTGATAGACCATACTGCAAAAAGTCACTTCTGTGAAAACCACTTATATTTTGTAATTCCATTTACTGTGTTTTATTCTGTAAGTTACAGCAAATCTTTAACTTCTGCACTCACCGAAGACACATCCAGTGGTAGAACAAAGATAATGAGAAATGAGAAGTACCATGCTACAAGAACTGCAACTGTAACAATGATATGATGTTTTAGCCAATTTCCATACTTATAAAGCACACCAGCAGCCAAGCAAAATGTAACCACCACTTCAGTTAAAAGTGGACTCAGTGTCATGATGCACTTATATTTTTGCTAGTTTCTTGTTCCACAAATTAAAACAAGTGCCTTAAAATCAATGAGACTAGTTCAACTTCTCTGTTCATTCATTTCCTGTTTTTTCAGCTTTTCCTCTGCTTCCTTCTGCATATTTTCTAACTTTTCAAGTGTCACTGATTTCAATGGCATCAGTTTTGGTTTGCAAAGAATGTACTCTGGTATATCTTCATGATGTAAAAGACCTCTGTTTGGAAGGTACTCCTTTAATGTTGCCATCTTTTCTTTCCCAGACATTATCTTCTTAATTATATGTACCTATAAAAGAAAACTATACATTATTATACAAGTACAAGGGAGTCAGTAAATAGGTCACAAATGGATTTAAAACATAAATCATGTGATTTATGAACTTGGAAAAAACATTTACTTCTCAACATATCCTCCACCAACATTGACCACACATTTGTCCCGTCACTTTACCAGTGTGTTGAAACCCTCATCACAGAAGTCTTTTGACTGTTCTGTCAGACACTTACACACCTCTGCTTCAACCTCTTTGTCATCAGCAAAATGTTTGCCAACAATGTGGTTTTTTAGTAAACCAAACAGATATAAGACACTAGGGGCTAAGTCTGGGCTGTAAGGTGGATGTTCAAGAAGTTCCCACTGTAGTTCTTGAATTTTCTCCTGGGCTGCTCAGGCTATTTAAGGGATCTGGCACCCACTGAGCACATACTTTCCGAAACTTCAAAAGATCATGCATTATGATGTATGCTAAACAACTGAAACACCATAGTGCAGCTGCTACACTGTCTATCGTCATCCTGTAGTCAGCTCAAAACAACTTGTCCACCCGCTGCACAGTTGCTTCTACTGCAATCTCATCAGTCTGACCTGGTAGGACATCACCTGTGACTTTCAAACCTCCTTCAGAGAATTTCTCGACTTAGTTGTGAACCACTTTACATGACAAACATTTCTTTATGAATATCCTTTGCATTGACTCCTTTTGCCCACAAAAAATGGACAATAGAATGCTGCTCTTCGGTAGTACACCCCTCAAGCATGGTCGCCATTTTGACTACTGAAACCAGCCTCTGAACATGCACATTTGCTACCCACACTTTTATTTAAAAAAAAAGATATATAAATATATAAATGGCCTAGACAATGACCATATGGCACTACCCAGACTGTCATGCTACCTAGCAATACACACAGAAAACCCATTTCATCCATTACAGCTGTTTTACTTCCAGCTGTGACCTATTTAGTGATTCGCCCTTGTACGACACCAGTACACTTGGTACACATGTCAAATTTTCCTGAAAAATGTCTGTCACCAAACTCTGTCTCATCTATTAAATGTAAATCATAATCATAAACGGCCTACACCTAATGTACAACTACAAAAAACTCAAAAAATGTTCAGAAGAATATTAATATACACACCACAGTTTTGTAAATATCATAAATTAATATTATTTCTATAGTACTACATAAACTTCACAAGCGTACGTGTATTTCTGTGGTGCATCAGCATCTAAAAAATTTGTATATGAATCCATAACCCAACCTGATGTATTATAAATATATATGTCAGACAGCAGAAAGGCCTGAAAATAAGTTTAGGGATCAAACTACGTTATTTACACACCAAACATACATTAAAGTAACAGAAAGATGGCAGGCTGTACAGGGTCTGTGACTGATGTCCTAAAGGGTAAACATTATAATACAAACATAGATACTTCCATGGGGTGGTAAGTTCAGACATTAAAATGGAGTAAAATAACAATAGTTATAAAGAAAAACATAATTCATAAAATAACAGCAAAAATTAAGCATTCCCCTTTGTAGTCTGTAAATTTTCTGTCTTCCACTGTCACAGGAACAGCAAACACACAAAAATTATGAAATTTACTGCATACAACTCCAACCATGACAACTGATTGCATTCAGGAGGTACCTGCTTTGAATCTCGGCTGGGACGTCAATTGCATGAGAATTAATGAAACGGAATACCTAGTTATGCTAGTTCTTGAGAATACAGTAAACACTGTATCATGTATCAGGTCTTCAGGTTCCATAAAAGGAAGGGGATTTTTTAAGATAATGACAGATTGCTTATAGGCCATTAAGGATGGACGGTGTTTAATGGAGATTATGGTAACTTATTACAACTCACAACTAAATTTAAAACATCCATTCCTAAACAACAAACGAATTTAAGTTTTCCTGCAAGGTTTGACTAAGCAAATAATCTACCAATATATAAACTACCCACGTTAAATACTTCATAACTGTAACAGAAAATAAATATTTAAAAGACCGCTACAATAGCATTACATTTACAACTGTGTAAAAGTACACGACTATCATTTACCCAGACAGGATAAGATTACATACGTGTCATTTCTTCACTTCCTACGACAATCACATAACCAAATAACTAACCACTGCACTGCTCACACTGCAACCATTACACTAACCAACAATAACACACCAATCCATAACCTAAACTGCACAAGACCGTAAGGACCGTAAAGACGGTAAAGACTGGTGTACGCTAATCACTGATTATCTTAAAAGGCTCTGACCGCTCTGACCCTTGATCTATGATACATTTCTTTCATGAATCCTACATGGATAAGTCATATATTCAGATACGAACACAGGAGCGCACAGGAATGTCTTTCTGGGTTTATGCATCTTTGACATCACGGATAATGTTTCAATTTAACTCTTATTTAATTACAAGGATTACGAGCTCGGCTCAACGGCCAGTAACCAATTTTAGATGCTAATAACAATGTCACGTACACGTATGACAGTGACTACTGACGGGGTTTGTATTGGTGTGTTAATTTTTAATTAAGGCCGACGGTCGTCGGCCAGGCTGTCTTCGAATAAAGCACCCATCTGGATCTGGAACTTAGACCAGATTTCTAATAGTGTGAGACAGCTGAGGGCGTTGCGGGTATTTTGATGCGGGGCGCCCCGCCTCAGGAGAGGACGGGTCTGTCGTTTCAAATTGCTGCTGGCCTTGCCAACGCAATCATTTTCGGGCCCGAGTCCCGTGCGACGCGTGCGATTCGCAAGTATATATATTTTACTGTCTCAGATTCGATACTTCCTTTTTCGTCGCCTCCTACGACTTGCTACGGTGGTGTTCGACCTTGCCTCCTCACGGGATTGGATTAGTTGCTTGATTTATTCACCACTTATACCCTCACGAATCCTTGTGAAACATCGATTCAGAAATAGTGTGAAGGATGTGAAGACGCTTCCTGGGGCAGATATTGACTCTGACCACAACTTACTGGTTGCCAAGTTCCAAACCAGGTTGAAGAAAATTATAAGATTTCGAAAGCGCAGACCCAGATGGGATTTGGAGAAATTATATGCTCAAAGACAAATCGTGCAAGAGACCCCAGAAGAGAAACTCGGTGCAATTGAAGGTGAAAACGGAAATGCTGAAGCGCAGTGGAACAATATAAAAGAATGCATGTTAGATACTATCAGTGATTTGGCTGGTAAAGTTGAGAAGATAGCAAGAAAACCATGGATTACACAGGAGATGATGAGTAAAATGGAGGAGCGAAGGAAATGGAAGAATGTCAACAATGAAGAAGGCAGGAGGAAATACAGGAGACTGAGGAATGAATTGAAAAGAGCCACGGACAGGGCCAAAAAGGAATATCTTGAGAAGATATGTAATGAGATTATGGAATTTCAAAGAACAGGCCGTTATGATTTGATGTACATGAAGACAAAAGAACTAGGATGGAAAGAGAATCA